CAGGTTTGCCCTGAAGGCCTTTCTGCTCTGACCAAAGAATGTGCCCACCCCTGCCCACTCATGGGGGCTCCTCCAGTGCTGAGGCCCAGGACAGGGAGGTACACCCAATCCACCTCCTCATGGGAACCCATTCCCCACAGGAGAGAGGGATGTGTCACTGTGACCACATCTTTCTGGAAAACTCCCACCGTTCAGTTCTTTCCCCGGAATTGCACTGGGGAATCATATCCTTGCTCAATCTCCTTGGATCTATTTTTGGCCTTGACCGACTTGATGTGGTGGAGTGTGCGGGTGTTCCCTTTTAATTTGGGGTCTAGAGCCATCTGAGGCCTGGACTGGCAATCATGAGTGCAGAGCCATTTATGGAAGCAGCTCTTGAAAAAAGTCAGTAATGAAAACCAACTAAAAATACCTTAGAAATGAAGCCTTGGCCTCCTCTGGGCAGCACTGAGATTTCTGGGTGGGAGGGAGAAGCCCTTCAGATGCAGAATTGGTAGGTGATCGTTTTTGTAGCTCCTCCCTGGGCACACACCAGCCATGGAGACCGGGGTCTTGCTTTAGGTCTGAAGGGGGCCCCTCAGCCTTGTCACTAGCAGGACTAGCTGGATGGGACCAGTGCCTCTGCCTCTGGGATGTTGGGGAGCCTGCCCTCCACCTCAGCAGCCTGGCCGTGAAAGGGGGCCAGTCCCACAGCAAAGTGAAAATGTGAGGGCTTCTGGTGGAGACCCGCTGTGCTGTGGAAGCCACTCCCAGACCAGCAGGCTGCCCCACTGTCCTGGGGAGCTTGGGAAGAACCTGCAGACACATCCCCTCTCTGGGCGCCCAGAACAAAAGGAGCTCAACAACAGTCCACTGAGAGCCTCCTGTTTCTGCCCCGCATGGTACGGTCCTGTCCTCAATTGCTCACCATCCAGAGGGGCACACTAACCAGAGATGGGGACCCCTGGGACAGGAGAAAGGGAGAGGCCAGCAGGTGAGAGCTGGACTAAGAGGAAAGTAGCCTTTAGATATGGTGGGATGGGGGCAACTCAGGAGAGGGTGCTTTGGGAGGGCGTCCGGAGGAGGGGAGAGGCGTTTGCAGCCAAAAGGCCCAGGAGGCCATGAGGTTGGGCCTGGCCAGCTCAGGGGGAACTGGAACCAGTGCTTGGGCTCCTCCTGGGGGCCCTACGGGGCTGGGAAAGGGTTTGAGGGCAGACAGAAGATTCTATTCTCTTAATAGCCACTCTGGGTGGCTTACTTTTGGTCAGAAACAAGACAGATTTAGGTCTTCTGAGTGATTCTAAATTTTGTCCAGGGCACAAAAATAGCCAAAGCTTTTGTTGGTGTAGGACTGGTGGACTCAGGGTGTGGCATCTGGAGATTTAGCCTGTGAGTGGTGCAGGGCCTCAGAGACAGAAAGGTAGAATGTGGATGGTGGTCACTGAAGGTGGAGGCCACCACCTCCCCACAGTGGGCCTTTCCCAAACATGGGATCTGGAGGTTGGTTTATAGGACAGGAGGAGAAGGCTGAGAGTCCTATTAGCACACGTTGGTGATTCACGATTGTTTCTTGTTCCGGAAGCCACATTATGGTGATTCAGAAAGTAAATTCGTTTGCTTCTTCCCCAGACAGAAGGTGGTTCAGTATTTGATTGTTTTTGGCAGCTTTTATAATTATGTAGAAAATAAATATTTAGAAGTGCCTATTGAGCCAGGTGTAGCTTTCTTTGTCTGTTACCTATGCCCAGTGAATACTTTGTGTGGGGCCCTTCATATTTTGCCAGTGTATCTTTGGGGTTGTTGTGTTAAAGAGTAAGTTCATATGTAATTTTGCGAGGGTACTGCAAAAGGATATTGCCAAATTCCTTTCCAACACATTCCTACCAGTGATGTGGGAGAATGTTCTTGTTTGCTCTCACCTATTTCTCAAAGGCCATACTGAGCACCCTATAAAGTACCCTCTCCCCTATTACTTTTGAGCCCATAACCCTCCATATTCCACTCTCAGTGTAAACAGCATCCCTGTCTTACTTGTTTTGTTGGTGGTAGTGTTCATATTGTGTCTCCCTCATTAGACCATAAACTCCATCAGAACAGTCTCAGATATAGTAAGAACTTAATATATTTGTTTATAAATTGAACTTGATAAACTAATGAAAATTAAATGAGCAAAGTAATACATTTATTTAGAAAAAGATCATTCCAAATCTCCCCATGGCTTTGAAATTTCTGACATGGCCTTCTGAGGGCATCACATCTTGGCACAATGTAGGGAGATTGCAAGTCAGGCTCCTCCAGAACTCATGTTGAATGGCTACTCCTCCCAGTCCATTGCCTGGCTGTTTACAAAGCCCTTCCATGGCCCTGTGAGGAAAGCTGGACCGCACCCTGACTCCCCAGAGGAGATGAGGCCGAGGTAAGTACGTACCTGGTTGGTGCAGGGTCTGGCCTGACCACTGCCACAGCTCCCTGTGCTGCCCTGAGCTGCCTTTTTGGCTAAAGTAGGCTTGGCCTTCACTTGGTTAACAAGGAGGACATAGAGGTGCCAGAAAATGCTTTCCCAGAACATCAACTTTTAGAACATCTTTCTCCTAACTCAGAGCAACAACCACTGAAAAGAGGGCAAATCTTTAGGTTACCTCTTCCATCCTCCCAAAACTGACCTCAGATGAAGGAGCTTTCTTTACTCAGTTCCACACTGCAGGAAATATCACTAATTTCTGATGAAAAGCATCACTTTCCTAACAGTGTCTCACCTTCTAGTGCTTGCCTGGAACAGCAGGGTGGGCAGTTTGCTGTGCTGAGCTACTGGGTGGTTCATCGAGTTCACACCCACAGGGGGAAAGCTGGGACCCGGGGTCAGTTCAGGTGCACAGGGCTCTCCTGAACCGCACGCACGTGGGCCCCCCAGGTCAGCAAGGGAGGGAGGCCGCAGAGCGTGGTCCTCCCGTGGAGATGGCGGGTTCGTGGGTTGTTCCCTCGGCCCCCAGATCGGACAGGAAATCAGCGGCAGGCCTGCAGGCAGAGATTGCCCGCGGCCCCACGACCGGCCCGTCAGCCCCGCAGCCTTGGGAGCAGATCCGTGTGTGCGGATCCGTGTTCGATGCCCTCAGCCACCCTTCTTCACGCCCTGGGCCAAACCCTGTCACAGCCACCAGCCTAGACCTATGGCGTCCTGCACGTCCGGGATTCTTACACGGCCACGGAACAGAGGTGGTCTGTGCGGCCCCTGAATCCACAGAAATTGTCACCAAAGCTGTGCGTGTGGGAGTGGGAGTGTGTCTGTAGGGAGGAGGGGACGTGTGTGTCAGTATTCATGGCACGCGTCCCCGGGTGCGGGGACAGAGCCCGCTCCACACGATCCCTGCGCGTGCGCGGGAGGACACGGCTCCCCCTGGCGACGCTGCCTCCCAAGCAGCCTGGCTCCCGGCTGCGCATGCGCTGCGTGTCCGGCGCCTGGTCGGCGCGTGGACGTTCTATTTCTCCCGCGCGGTCTGGGGAGGAAAAGCCCACCTCCTGTGAGCGTGTGTGTCCACCGGCCCCACCCAGCCCAGCTGTTGGCCTGTCCCTCGCTGGACCCGGTCCCCACTGCGAGGACAGGAAGCGCTCCCCACATCCGCCTCCGCCACCAGCCTGGTGACTTGTGGTCACTGAGCCCAGTAGCCAGAGAGGGTTTTTAAAAAGACTCACAGACATGTAATTAAAATCTCAGTGTTGGGTTTTGGGGAAGGTGCTGGGCGGCTCCTGCCCCTGTTTTCGGAAACACAGATTTGCGGCGTTTGAAAGTGACAGGAGGCTAAAGTGAGACAGTACTAAATATACTGTTCTGGGCGTTTCCGGGCAGCGGGGGAAATGTGGGATTGATCGGCCACCCCAGCCTCCTGCCCAGACAGACCAGCCCGGCCACCGGCCCGCCTCGGCTCCCCCTCCAGCCTGTGCATCACCTTCCCCTCCGCCTGTCTTCCATCCCCCAAAAACCACATCGTACCTCTGCTGCCCAGAACCCTGAACCCCACTGGCCAGAGGCACAGCCCACGCTCCTAGGCCGGAATTCCACCCTCCAGAGTCAGACCACAGCCAGACTCACCGCCAGTCCCCCACAGCGCTGATCTGTGGACGCCCCCGCACTGCACACCTGTGCCTCCGAGGTCCCCTCTGCCTGGAATGTCTTCCCCGCCACCTTCTCCCCCCCGCCCCAGAGGACTCTGTCCCCTCCTTCAAGGCCAGTTCAGGTGGCACCTCCCCTGGGAAGCCTGCTCAGATCGCACCCCATCACGGGATTGTCCAGCTTCCCTGGGACCTGACCAGGTGTCACCAGGCGCTGTCACTGCTACCTTGCTCCCTCTTATTCCTTTCCAAGTCTCCCTCTGACCTCCTTGCTCCTTCACCTTGTCCCCAAACAGGACCTGCCATCCTTTCACCTTTTGCTGTCTTTATGGCTGTTGTTTCCCCTGCCTGTGCCGTCTGTTCCTCAGCCCTAGGCCTTTGTTCAGGCTGGCCCTTCCTCTGCAGTGTCCTCCCTTGACGTGGGGGCACATCCACTCTCACCCCTTGAGGCCGAGCCCCAGTGTCAGCTGCAAACGCTTCCTCTCCCCCAGGCTCCTGAGCAGACACATCGGCAGACTCTGGACAGCTCTGGCCTCAGACTGTACTCGGTTCTGCCCCTGCCCGCCCCCATGGCCCGTTTCTGCCTTGGGTCTGATGTCAGTCTTCCCAGAGGAGGGACCTGCCCTCTGCCTCATCTTTAGGTCCCAGAGCCAGCAGGGGATGGGTGGGGCAGGCTGGGTTTGGGGCTTGGGGGCCAGAAGTGGAGGCTGCTCTTGCCGGCACCACGGTGTGCCGGGCCCTGTGCCGGACACAGCACATGGCCCCGCCGCGCCCTCTCAGCACGCAGGAGACAGAGCCTGGGCGCAAGCCCCTTTGCAGAGGATGGAGCCGTCCCCACCCAGGTGCCTTGGCCCCCAGCTCCCCCCAGTTCTGCCCAGAGCATAAGTGACCGGCAGCCCCACTCTGTCTTGCAGTGGAGCGTGACTGCACCCTGGGCCACCAGGAGCCCCACTGGAAGGAGTTCCGCTTCGACCTGACCCAGATCCCGGAGGACGAGGCAGTCACGGCCGCCGAGTTCCGGATTTACAAGCTGGCCAGCGCCCACCTGCTCAACAGGACCCTGCACGTCAGCATGTTCCAGGTGGTCAGGGAGCAGTCCAACAGGTGCCTGCCCTGCACCCCACCCCCCGAGGAAGCCTGGCCGGGGAGGGGACACTTCCCAGAGGACAGAAGGGGAGCTCCCTGGGGAGCACACCCTCAGAGGCAGAAGGATACTTGGCCGAGGCCTCGTGTCACTGTGGGGAGAGGCCCAGCATCGGTTCTGCCTCACTCCCTGCCCTGCTGTCCTGGCTGTGGGACCTTGGGCGGGTCACTGAGCCCCCGAGCCTCAGTTTCCACATCTGTACTGGGCACAGTAACACCTTCGTACAGTAGATACAGTGAGAGAAGGCACGCGGTGCGCCCAGGCTGAGCCAGGCGGGGTAGGTGCCCCACGCGTGCTCCCCCAGGCGGGCACTGGAAACAAAGGCAGCTGTGCCGGCCCTCAGTTAATTGTTTTTTCGTGTCCACAGGGAGTCTGACTTGTTCTTTTTGGATCTTCAGACGCTCCGAGCTGGGGACGAGGGCTGGCTGGTGCTGGACGTGACAACGGCCAGTGACCGCTTGTTGTTGAGCCGGAACAAGGACCTGGGGCTCCGCCTCTATGTGGAGACTGAAGACGGTAAGGCTCAGGGTTGCGCAGCAGGCCTTCTCCTGGGGGCTCCTCCACGCTGCTGGCGCAGAGCCAGCAGCAGCCCCCTCATTTGGTCCTAGAGGCCTGGCCTCGCTCAGCCGAGGGGCTGGGGCGATAATCCCCTACCTACTTTGGGGGCTCAGCAGGGTGCAGAGGGTGAGGTTCCCACAGCGGGAGGCCCCCTACCACAGCGGTCTCCCTCCTCTCCTTTTGCAGAACCAACATTTCAGTCACTAAGAGGGAGTCCGCATTGTCCCTCCCCAAGAGCAGCTGTGTATGTGGGGTGTTTCTGTACTGGGCAGGGCCAAGGGGAGATGGTTACACCCTCAGACTCAGATCAGAGAGGGAGGCCTGGGTTTGAATCCCAGCTCGGCAGCACTCTAACCCAGTGACCTTGGCAGGATACTTACCTTCTAAGTCTCAGTGTCCTCCTCTGTAGAATGAGGATTCACACCTTCATTCATTCCCCAGGTAGCTGGGGGAGAGCCTCCTTTATCGTAGGCAGTGGGGAGGGAGAGGCCGAAGGTGGGCACAGGATGGGTGGATCTGAGCTCCAGCCAGGGGCCGCCGTGGCTGGAGCTGGGTGGGCCGGGGCGAGGTGGGCGAGGAGACTGAGAGCTGCAGGCCACACTCTGAGGTGAACCCGGGCCCGGTGTCGGAGTGTTGAGGGTAGCTCCCTGTACTACACAGCAACGGAGGATGTCAGGATCGGAGTCAGGTTTTTAGAAAAGAGCCCTCTTAAAAAAAAAAAAAAAAAAGAGCCCTCTGAGCCACCCCCTCGAGGAGGGCAACACTCACCCCTGGTGTGACCACACGTAGTGACTTAGGCTCCCCAAAAGTACAGTGGAAATGGGGTGGGAGAGGTACCTTCACGGAGGAGAGAGCTGACCGCACGACCTCAGCAGGTGATCAAGGCTCATACAAATGTCCTGTACATGGTGCGTCACCGTGGACATGATGGGGTGGGAAGGACCCTTCATCACGTCATCTTCCCCCCAAAACCCAGAACCCCATCTAACCGTGAGAAAACATCAGACAAACCCAAATTGAAGGACATGCTACAGAATGCCTGACAAGACTTCTCAAAACTGTCCAGGTCATCAAATACAAAGAAAGTCTGAGATACTGTAACAGCCCAGTGGAGCCTAAGCAGTTGTAACAACGGAATGTGGGATCCGGGACGGGACCCTGGAGGAGAAAAAGGACATTGGGGAAGACCCGTAAGATCCGAATACATCTGTTTAGTTTATCATCAGACACCAGTGTTGGTTCATTAGTTGTGACAAGTGCCCGGCGCTCACTTCAGTGTTAACATTTCCCGGGGAAACTGGCCCTGGGTGTCTGGGAACTCTCTGTACTGTCCTTGCAGTTTTTCTGTAAATGTCAACTATTGTAAAATAAAACTTAGCATATGTATCCAACGAAGGTTGTGCCCCCTGACATCAGCAGGGACAGTGGTCGCGAGAGCGAAGTCAGAGAGGCCCGGGAGCCACACAGCCTGCAGGGAGGAGTGGGGAGGTGCTTGTTGATAGCAAGCAGCAGAAATGGAGAAAAGCGGGTAGAGGAGGAATCATGGAAAACGTGGATTGAGCCAGTGGCCATTTTTTTTTTTTTTAAGATTTTATTTATTTATTTGACAGAGAGCAAGAGAGGGAACACAAGCAGCAGGAATGGGAGAGGGACAAGCAGGCTTCCCACTGAGCAGGGAGCCCAATGCAGGGCTTGATGCAGGGCTTGATCCCAGGACCCTGGGATCATGCTCTGAGCAGAAGGCAGATGCTTAACGACTGAGCCACCCAGGCGCCCCGAGCTAGTGGCCATTTTTAATAGAACCTTTTTTTTTCCTGCCCGAGTAAAAGTAGAGGAGGGGCAGACTTGAGCGAGCAAGCCAAGGGTCCTTTTTTGGCCACAATGTTATTGAGAGCCCTGGTTGACGTCCAGATGGAATGTCAGCTCGGACAGGTGAGTGCTGGGGCGCAGGTGTGTGAAGCGCTGACATCTAAGTGTCTTCAGAGCCATGGGACCTGAGCAGGTCACCCAGGCAGGAGGTGTCAATGGAGAAGGAAGGGGACGACCTAGAACCCTGGGGCCTTCTATATGGAAAAGGCTGCACAGAAGGGGTTTTGCAGAGGATCTATCCTTCCCACCCATGGGGTTCGGGGCTGGAGACGGTGGCCTTCCGGCCAACCCCTGCGTCCAGGGTCGGTCTTCCCCTCAGTGACGCCGCCACGGGGCTTCTGTGGGCACTGCTCCTTCCCCATCTGGTCACAAGGTTTGGGTCCCCTGGGCCGGGAGGTGTGGCGCTTCTGGAGCCCCTCGGAGTGTGGAGAGGCCAGGCTGTGGGGGGCACCTGGTCCCCACGTCACGGCCCCACATGCCCTCCCTGCTCTGGACACGGTGGCTACAGCAGTCTGTCCCCACCGGGTCCGATGCCCGGAGGCAGAGCGCACGATGGCGGCCCTCCGGCGCCTGGCGATGGTGCTTGGGCGCTGCGTCCCCGCCGGCCATTCGGGGCCCACGCTGGCCGAGGCCCAGGGCGGTGTGCGCGGCCTGGCCACCAACGCTCGTGCCTGTGCCAAATTCTACACGGATCCCATGGAGGCCGTGAAAGATATCTCTGACAGGGCCAAGATCGTGGTCGGCGGCTTTGGGCTCTGCGGGATTCCAGAGAACCTGATAAAGGCGCTGCTGGAGACGCACGTCAAGGACTTGACCGTGGTCAGCAGCAACGTGGGGGTGGACGACTTCGGGCTGGGCCTTTTACTGGAGACCAAGCAGATCCCCCGCATCATTGGCTCCCACGTGGGGGGAACATGCTGTGCGGGCACCACTACCTGTCTGGCGAGCTGGAGCCGGAGCTGCTGCCCCAGGGCACCCTGGCCGAACGCATCTGTGCGGGGGCGCCAGGGTGCCCTCGTTCTACACGCCCACGGCCTACAGGACCCTGGCGGAGGAGGGAGGCACCGGCGGCCGACGGCCACATGGTCATCATGAGCCAGCCCCGAGAGGTGAGGAGTTTCAGGGGGACCACTATCTTCTGGAGCAGGCCATCTCGGCCCGTTTTGCTTTGGTGAAAGGGTGGAAGGCCGACCGCGCAGGAAACGTCATCTTCAGAAGAAGCGCCAGGAATTTCAACGTTCCCATGTGCAAAGCAGCAGAAACCTCAGTGGGGGAGGTTGAAGACATTGTGGATGTGGAGACGTTTGCCCCCAAAGACATCCACATTCCTAACATTGATGTGGACCCTGTAATCCAGAGGGAAAGATATGAGAAAAGAATTGAGTGTCTAACCGTGCAGAGGAAGGTGAAAAAGCCAAGTCTGTGGGTGACCTCAAGGCCCGGATCATCACACGGGCAGCTCTTGAATTTGAGGATGGCATGTACACTGATTTGGGCATAGGATCCCCTCTCCTGGCCAGCAACTACATCAGCCCCAATATAACTGTTTATCTTCATAGTGAAAATGGGATCCTGGGCTTGGGTCTGTTTCCATTAAAAGAGGAGGTGGACGCAGATCTCATCAATGTGGGCAAGCAGACGGTCACCGTTTTCCCCGGGGGCTGTTTTTTCTCCCGCGATGACTCATCTGCCATAATTCGAGGGGGACACCTCCACCTCATCATGATGGGAGCCATGGAGGTTTCCCAGTACGGTGACCTGGCTAACTGGATGATCCCGGAAAGAAAGTGAAAGGCACGGGGGGAGCCATGGATTTGGTGTCCAGCATCAAGACCAGAGTGATGGTCACCATGCAACACTGCACCAAGGACAAGGAACCCAAAATTGTGGAGAAATGCACCATGCCACTGACCTGGAAGTGCTGTGTAGACCGAATCATCCCTGAGAAGGCCGGTTCGATGATGTGCACAAGTGAGGCCTGACACGGATGGAGCTCTGCCGATGGAGAACGACGTCAAAAAGAGCACGGGCAGCCCCCCTTTGCCGTATCACCTGACCCTCAGACCCACACAGCCCGTGGCAGCCTGAGCCAGGAAGGAAGCCCTGGTCCCAGAGGGTGGGTTTCATTGGAACCCATAGGAAGTGTGATCACCTCTGTCCGAGGTGCTGGCCGCCTGACCAGCTTTCCTACCGCCAGACAGACTATTCTCTCAAGAGGGATATGGCTTTAATTAAAAACCAAAGGGGAATGTAGCCGTTTATCTTCTGTGTTCTGTGTGTCCTGAGATCGGTCTGGTACCATCATCGGGCATGCAGACACCCTCTTCTGTGCTGTTTACATGAAATTCTGTGCAGATCGGATGAGCCCACAGGACAGCTTTCACGGAAGGGGCTTCCCTCGTGAATGAGCCACGAAATGTGGGAGGAAGGTGTGACCACCCCGTACACCCAAGGCTCCACTTTGCCAGCACCGTGAAAAATATACAAGCCAAACATGCACCGTGACCGGAGGAATGCTGCCTGCCTGAGCTTGTCTTCCTGCAGCCCCTCTGGCTTTTCCTCTGGGGCCTTCCATCTTGGGGCTAAATTCTGTAGCCTCCCCTCTTCCTCCCTGCACGGCCTCCTTCTCATGGCTAAACAGATGTGTCTGGAAGGGCAGCGAGGCTGTCTAGCTGGGCCAGAGCACTGGTAACGCAGTGACAGGCGGGGAGAGAGGCTCCTCTGTAGATAAACAGGCCCCCGTGCGCTGTCAAAGGCGGCAGCTTGTGGTAGGAGGGGTTCTAGAAACCAAGACGGACTTAATGGGTTTTCTCCTCTTCAGACATGGGTTCCTGTGTCCCCCAGGACACTCAGGCCCTTTCTGCCTGTCGTGGAGCCCTAGACTGGCCTGTTGTCTCTACTCTCTTAGAATACAGGAGAAGCTGTGAGGTGTTTCATCCTGAACCCACAGTCTCACAGCCTTAAAAGAACAAAATGAGTTCCTGTGTGTACATGCGTGCACACGTGCCCGTGCATCCATGTGCGTGTCCGAATGTGTGCGTGTGTGTGATGGTAAAAACAAAGCCTGACACGGAGCACGACGCACGTTCTCAGTGTAGCTCTCGAGGGGCACACAACCATCAGGAGCACGTGGGCAGGAACTGGAGATTCTAGCTGTGAAGGAAGGCCTTTCAGAAGAAGCCTCCTTGGGGCCTCGCCCTGAAGGAAGGGCCGGATCCTGGAACGGAGGGATGGAGACACCGCTCCCTGAGGGGGCAGCCTGGGGTTTGGGGGTAAGTGGCCAGGGACCATGACCAGGTTGGGGGTGGAATGGAAGGTCATCAAGTGGATGGATAGCGGGGTACCTTCTGGGGCTTCTGGGGAGTGGCCCTGATTGGCCCTGGTGTCAGTTCCCAGTGTGGGGCAGGCAGAGCTTCCAGGAGCAGAGAGTGAGAGGTGTGTCAGACGGTAGGAAGAAGGAGGAGGGTCGAGTTCCTCCTTCTCACGGGATGCAGTAACCTAGCCAGAGGGACAAAGGCAGACTGGTCCACAGCTGGGACTCTCTGAGGGTTCAGCCACGCACCCTGATTGTCCTTCAGTGTGGCACCAGCGTCACACCCATGGCCGCAGGCTGAGGTGGGGCCGGGTCTGTGGGGAGGAGTCAGGTGGCGCCCAGAGCAGGAGGAGGCCTGGGGGGGAGGTGGGAATGATCTTGGCCTGGCCCAGCTGGGTGGGGGTGTGTTAGGCCTTGACCACCTGCCCTGGGACAGGATGCAGCAGGTGAGCTGCCAAGACCTCTGGGCGCTGATGGAGCAGGCTGAGAAGTGGGGTGAGGCTGGAGGTTTCATGGGTCCCCCCTAGCCCAGAGAAGCAGCATGTTCCATCCGGGGCAAAGGGGAAAGGCCACAGCGTGGCCCACATTCTCAAGGCATGGCTGCACATACTCCATCAGGTGCAAAGGGGACAGCATGCCTGCCGGCAACCCAGAGGGTCAGGTATAGAGCCAGGGACCCTGGGCCCCAGAGATGCCCACCTCTGCCTTTCTAGAAAGCAGCCTTCCAGAGCCGGGCAGCCTAGGGCCCCACCCCCTAGACCGCTCGGGCCTTCCCTGCAGCCCCTTCTCTCTGCTCCCGGGAGACCCCAGGAAGACCCTTGATCAGACAGGTGCACAAGGAGAGCGAACAGTGAACACAGCCTCGGGCGACAGATCGCCCTCCCTGGCTCCTCGGTGGACAGTTCTCTCCGGGGAACAGGGGCAGGACAGCGGCACCTGCAGGGGTGGAGGGCTGCCCAGCCCAGGGTCATGGAGTTGCACTCCAGTGCTGTGTGGACGACAGTCACCCTCTTGCTCCCATCCACTCTGTGCTCCTCGTGGCCTCACTGGCCTTGCCCCTCTGCCCACAGGGCTTGTATGTGTCTTGTGGCTCAGTGTCCTCATGGTTCTGCTGCTTCCTCATGACTGACTTGCTATGACCCAGACTCTCCCGAGTGGCTTCTCTCTGGGCTCCTTCCAGGGTCTGCTCCTGCAGCTGACGACCTCCTGTCCCAGCAGGATCGTTGCCCAGTGGAGCCTCCGATGGGTCCAGTGCATTTGTGTGTGGCAGGTGATGTCATAGGTCAGAGTTTAGTCTCCGGATTCGTCGTTCAGGCACCTTGGCCCAAGGACACGGGCCTACAGCACAGCTCTTTAAGGGCTGACCTTTACCAGCTGCGCAGGACTGTGGGTGGGGCGGGCAGTGCCCTTGACCTGTGGTGTGTCCCAGTGAATCATAGTAGACCCGCTAATGGAGCAAACATAGGTATTTGTACATGTGGGCGTCTGTATACTGTATGATAAACCCATGTGTTTCTATACACGCGTGTGCGTGCGTGTGTCAGGGTGGCCACACTGAGGGGACATGGACACGGAAGGGGGACAGTTGGCTCTGTGTGTTACGAAACATAAAATTGAGTTACTAATCCTCTCCGTCGTTTAAGAAAATTCCACAGGAAGAGAACATGAAGGGGTCTGGAGTGTTCTCGCCTTTACAGTGAAAGCCAGGAAATAACCGACGTGTTTAAAGTGAAGCTAATACCTAAATACTATGCGGTGTTTTCTCAAAGGAATTTTATACGTTTGAAATGCTCATAGTGGAGGCATTTTAACAGCAGTGAACATGTTTATGTGAAAAAGTTGGAAAAAATACAGACACTTATGGTCACCATTGTGTAAAACTTCAATTGACATGAAAATATTCCAGAAAAATGAAAATGCTGTGTTAGAGCGTGGAGAGATTTCTGAGTGATGTTTTTTTTTTTTTTTTCCCTCAAACGTTACAGTTGCTATTGTATTACTTTGACAGTTAAAAAATCAGGAGGCCTGGAGCCTGGGTGGCTCAGTTGTTTGAACGGCCCATTCTTGGTTTCGGCCCAGGTCATGATCTCAAGGTCATGGGATCGAGCCCTGCGTCAGTCTCTGCACTCAATGTGGAGTCTGCTTGAGATTCTCTCTCCATCACCCTCTGCCCCTCCCTCCCCTCAAATAAATAAATAAATAAATCTTTAAAAAATCAGGAGGTCATTTAGAAATACAAAGAGGTACAGGAAGTTAGTTTTACTGGTGGACTCGACATTTCCAGGGATCATGAGTGTGTTTCCCAAGACATCCTCATCTTTAAGCAGCTTCGGGGTCAAATCCCATTTTCACAGGCGCTCCTCTTCCTAGCCAGAGGCCCCCATGTTTCCCTGCCGATGGCCTTTTCTCTCTTTTTTGACCCACAAACCTGGAGTTAACGTCTTAAGTGAATAAGAACTTGGGGTCTGGAATTAGACGTGGACTGAACCCCAGCTCTGGGACTTTGGCCGGATGTCTCTGCCCCGCTGCCACCGGTGTCCTGTTTGGGCATCAGAGGACACTTTGGGCCTGCTCTTGGCAGTGGCGGGCAGAACAAGCCCTTGCTACATCCTGGCGGCTGCTCCCATCCGCTGGGGCACGATCCATCGAGTCCCCCGAAAGTATGGGGTGGGCGGGAGACCTTGGGCCTTGGAGCTGTGAGACGGGGGTGGGAACCACAGTTCTGTGGGCCCCTGGCAGTGTGGCTCCGAAGTTTCTCCGTGAAGCGTGTGGTCCAGGTTACTGTGGAGACGCACGAGGTCACGAGTGGGAGTCGCTCGAACCTGTAAAGGGCTTCAAGGATGGCAGTGTTCACAATTGTCACGAATGACGACCGTGTGTTGGCGAGGCCCCCCTCCTCCCGTCTCCCTCGGACCATCTCCCTCGGGTCTTCAGATGAGGAGACTGAGACCCTCTGCCTCCGTGCACAGGGGCCCGCACAGGCTCGGGCAGAAGGGTCCCTGCTGTCCCCCGTGCCCAGCCCCTGCGCGCGAGTGACCGCCCTCTCTCCTCTCTCTGTCCCAGGGCACAGCGTGGATCCTGGCCTGGCCGGTCTGCTGGGGCGACGGGCGCCGCGCTCCAAGCAGCCTTTCCTGGTCACTTTTTTCAGGGCGAGCCCCAGTCCCATCCGAGCCCCTCGGGCAGCCAGGCCCCTGAAGAGGAGGCCGCCGAAGAAAACCAACGAGCTGCCGCACGCGAACAGACTCCCAGGGATCTTTGGTGAGGTCCGGGGCGGGCCTGGGGTTGGGCCCGAGAACAGCTCCGGGGACAGAACCATCCGGGGCGTCTTCAAGCCTGTGCTCACCCTCAGCACTTTCCTGACACCCTCCTTTGCCTCGTGTGCCCTGAGGAACAGCCACTGCCCTCTCCGTCCCTGCCACCCAGAAGCGCCTTCTCGGCCCTCCCCTGGCTCACCAGGGCTTTTTCCAGAAGCCTCTGTCAGCATCAGGTGCCCCTTCCTCGAGGCACTGGTGCCTCTCAGGTCTCCCCTGGGGACCGAGGATCCACAGTTGTTTATGTGAGGGTCTCCCCACCAGACTGAGCCCCTCAGGATCAGGGGTGGGCCTGCCCTGCCCTCCTGCCCTCCATTCCTCCACGGTGAGTCAGCCCTTGGGCCTCCGTGGAGCCACTCAATCCGGTGGAATGGGTGTAGCAGGAGAGGTGGGGTGAGGTCAGGAGGTGTCTCTGCAGAAAGGGAGGAGCCACCTGATGGCCCACGGTCCCCTGGCTGTGTACTGGAGCATCGGGGGCCACAGGCTGGAAGTCGGGAGGCTGGGAGGGCAGGGTTACTCTGTAGCTTTCGGGAGCCACCTGGAGCCATCGACGTTTCTCTAGCTGGGTCATGGCACCAGCAGAGCTGCAGGATGGGCTTTATGACACCAGATGCATTAGTTTCACTTCATACATTTGTTCAACACATGTGCCCAGTGGGGTGGGTCCCCGCCCTGGGAACTCCCTGGGGTAGCTGCCTGAGCAGGAACCCCAGAAAAGACCTGCTTCTGTCCCTGCAGATGATGTTCACGGTGCCGATGGGCGGCACGTTTGCCGGCGGCATGAGCTCTACGTCAGCTTCCAGGACCTTGGCTGGCTGGTAATTTCTGACTCTCCTCCTTCTTAAATAACAGGCCCCACCCGGAGGTTCTAAGTGTAGCTCCAGGAGGAGGTAGAATTATGGGTAACTTTCACTTTCATGCATTAGGTTCTTCTGTGTTTTCTGAAGGGAGAATGTCTTTTCCTGTGAGAAGGTGCTTTTTGGTAACAACCATGAAAACAGGATAGTCTGAATCCTCAGCCCTAACACGTCACATCTGCAACAGGAGGCTGGGCGGGCAGTGCGCGTGCGCATCTGCTGGGCCTGCGGCTCTAGGAGACGTGGGCAGTGGGGGCAGGTGGGGAGGACGTGGCCCAGTGCCGACTGCCCATGAGGGGGACAGAGCTGTGCCCGGCCCTGCCTGCTGAGGGTCTCCCGGCGGTGCCCGGCCTCTTGGGGAACCTGCCTGGAGGGACCCTGGGGGGCTGACTGGCCTGGGGTTGGGGGAGGGGGTGTCTGGATGGGACTCACCTTCTCCCATTACCCCCCCAGGACTGGGTCATTGCCCCCCAAGGCTACTCGGCCTATTACTGTGAGGGGGAGTGTTCCTTCCCGCTGGACTCGTGCATGAACGCCACCAACCACGCCATCCTGCAGTCCCTGGTCAGTACTGCGTCCGTCGGTCCGGGCCCACGGGGAGAGGGGCTGGGCACAGCCAGGGGCACGGAAGCCCCTGCTGGGGGGTCGGGGGCTCTCTCTGCCCAGAACCTGCCCTGGACGTGTAGACTCCTATGCGCCTGAGCCCACTATTCCCGACCTCCCCTGGCCGCTGGTGCGCACCCCCCTCTGGGCACTGCACACGCACGTGCAAGGCCTTCGCGGACAGTATGTGGGTGCCCAGACTGACAGGACTCGCTCGCGGTCAGACACACGGCACACACGTGGCGGACGTGCGTGCCTCCCGCGGCCTGTGTGCTCTGAGCACACGCACAGCGCGCGCGCGGGCGCGCTCGGCTCCCGGGACGCGGACGGCCGTGGGGCGAGGGACGCGCATGTGCGTTCAGCCGCCCGCCGCGTGTGCGCGGGGCGGGGCGCAGGTGTGCGGGGCTGAGCCGCTGGGCTTCGGCCTCCGTTCGGCTCACCTCGCCGTTGGCGGTCCTTCCTGGCTCTCTCGCCCTTTGTGCTTTCCCCAGAGGGTATGGCTCCCCGTGCTGCGGCTGGGGGACCTTCAAATGCTGAAAAATTGCTTAGTGTTTTAAATGTTTATTGATTCTGGGGCGCCTGGGTGGCTCAGTCGTTAAGCGTCTGCCTTCGGCTCAGGTCATGATCCCAGGATCCTGGGATCGAGTCCCGCATCGGGCTCCCTGCTTGGCAGGAAGCCTGCTTCTCCCGCTCCCACTCCCCCTGCTTGTGTTCCTGCTCTCGCTCTCTCTGTCAAATAAATAAATAAAATCTTTAAAAAAAAAAAAAAAAGCATAAGCCCCTTCAAAAAAAAAAAAAGGTTTATTGATTCTAGGGTTGAGATTTTTTTCTAGAACATTTAGGTAGAATCTACTCCTATGTTAATCTAGTAATAGGTTAAGTGATGCCTCTGAACAAGAGTAAACATATCACCAACAGCAACTTTGACCTTGTGGTAACACTGCCTTTCTCAGATCAAGTGGGATTTGCTGCCCCCAGGAGCCCCTTTCCTGGGAGAAGCTCAGGAGTGATGAGATGCCTGTGCTTCCTCTGGCCCAGGAGGGCGTGTGGACTGATGGTCACAGCTGCAGCTCCCACGTCAGGATGGCTGGGTGGGCTTGGGCTGCAGGGCAGTACAGGGAGGCCAGGAAGGTGACGCTGGGGTTGGGCAGGGGCCGGCTCGTAGGGCCTTAGGGTCCCACCTAAGGTGCCAGGTGGGTGGATTGATTTCCAAGGAAACTGAGAAGCCGGTGTAGAGTTTTAGCAATACTAGGTCAATGATCTGACTTACCCTATAAGTATCTGCCTGGCTGCATTGCGCAGATGGATGGGGCCGAGTGAGGGGCTGCTGAGGTCCCCTGACAAGGGGTCGGGGCACCTGGTGGAGGGCGGCGGCCGGGTTGCTCGTGGGTGTGGATGCGGGGTGGAAGGAACCCAGGAGGCTGCAGGCGAGGGCCACGTGAAGACGGGGATGGGGTGCCTTGTCTGGGGGCAGAGTCGTTGCCGGGGGATGTGGTGGAGGGGGGGAAACAGCAGTTCTGCACCAGCTGCATCGTAAGTTTGAGGCCCAATTAGACTTCAAGCGGGGTCACCGGTGGGAAACCGAACCGACAGGTCTGAGGTCAGAGGATCGGCCAGACCGAAGCTCTGTGAGAGAGTGGCATGTGGCCGAGCTTCGAGTCCTGAGAACAGATGAGCTTCTCTGGGGAGACCGCAGACACCGGAGGGGTGGCTAGGCCTGGGAGGCCAGGGCAGTGATGGGGGTCTTGGGGTGTCCTGGGGGCCAAGAGAAGGAAGCATTTCCCTCTGGGCTCACCGCCCCCCCCCCCCAGCCCTTCTCCATGTAGCAGCCAGGGGTCCCACTAAAGCACAACTGAGCACCTTGTTCTCAGCTGAGAAACTTGCCTTGCCTCCCGTCGTTCCTCAGATGAAGGCTGAGCCCTTGGCCTGGGACACAGGGTCCCTCATGAGCCGCCCTGCCGACCTCGCCAGCGTCCCCACTCACCCCAGCGCCCTTACTTCCCTGTGCAGGCTCAGTGCCAGGATGGGCTGACCTTCCCACCTTTCTGCCTTTGCACTTGCTGTTCCCTCCACCTGGAGGGCCTCCTCCTCTGCCTCGGGCCCAGCCACCACCTGCTCACCTGCATGCCTCATGTCTGTGGCCCTTCCCTGCCAGGGGCAGTCACCATGCTCATGCTCCCAGTGCTGAGGGCCTGTTTGCTGTGCCACCGCCCATGGGTCCTTTTTGTCTACTGCAATGTCCCCCGTCTCCCCTTCCCTCCCCATGGAGTCTGTGAGAGCAGCGACCGTGTCTGGGACATTTCTGTGCCCCGTCCTGCCAGGGCTGGTGCAAGGCACGTGTCCTAGATACGTTTGTGTTGGAAATGAGAAAAGAACCATTATACCCATTTGGCAGAGGAGAAAATGAGGCCCACAGATGCGTGATTTGTACCCAAAGATGCACAGCCAGTAAGTGACCCTCCAATTTGGTCTCCCAGGAGCTCAAAGACAAGCTGAATGGAATGGCACATTAGCCTCCGCAGGTCATTCTGTTTGGTGCCAGATAGGGTAAAAGGCCTTCTTTCTGTCACTCAGCTGACAAAGCTCTCCTGTGGGGGGAGTCTCAGAAAGGCCGCACCCCTGTGGTGCCTGACTTCTCCCCAGCACCCCAATGTAGGAAAGGCCCTCCCTGGTTTCCAGCCATGTAGAGCCCCATGGTCCGGTGCAGGTGGGTGGTGTCCCCCGGTTTCTTTCACGTGGGCCCACGAACACCAAGCCTCGCCCCCACACGTGGAACTGGGGAAGCTGGGGGCAGCAGCACCCACGTCCCCGCCTGGCTGGACATCTGCATGGAGGCCTCAGCCTCCCCCTGGGCCTCTGAGAGGCTGTGGGGCCCCAGCTACCCATTGTCCTTCCAGCAGGCCAGCTCAGAGCTGGGGCAGCAGGGACAAGGCAGGGCCCTGGGGGGCGGGGGCCAGGCTGCCAGACAGGCTCCCCCACCAGCCAGTTTCGTCTGGTCCCGCTCGGCAGCCTCCGAGAGGGCCAGGAGTCCCGGGCTGCAGGGCAGCCACCACCCCCAGGTTCGGTAGGCTTCCTCTTCTCTCCTGCCTCCCCCCACCTCGGCCTCCTCCATGTTGGGGGCCCGGACCATGAGTCACGGGTAGTGCAGCCCCTCCTGCCACCACTCGGGAGAACTATTTTTAGTGGGCTGAGAACAGGCTGCTCCCTCAGGCAGGCTCTTTGCTGGCAGTCAGGCGGTTAGGAGGGTCGCAGGTCCCCACACCCGGTCCCTGGCCCGCCGCAGACAGCCCCATGACACGGCACCACGCGCGGTCTCTGTGCCCTCGTTCTCGGTCTGCCCAGAACAGGAGCTGCCTTAGAGCTCGTTACCAGGGCTGGGAAGTGCTCTGAGGAATAACAGCTTCAGACACCCCAAGGGTGGACCTAGGGTTCTAGGCTTTGTCCGGTTCTGTGAACGTTCACCGGCCCACATTTGGGAGGGGAGACAGACCGCAAATGGCTAACGGGGACAAGAGATGACCAGGGACATCCCAGAAGCACAGAGAGGAGCGGAGGGGACCGCGGAGGGGACCCCGGAGGGCTCCTGGGCACACCGTGTGCTGGGGCGTCCCGTCTGGGGGCAGTGGGGCGGGGCAGGGGGGCAGGGGGATGGGGTGGCGCGGGTCTCCGCGGGAGCACCTGCCAGGGGCTGCAGGTGGAGGATGGAGCAGGTGGGGGTTCCAGGGGAAGGCCACGTGTTCACGCCTCTGCCCCCGCCCCCGCCAGGTGCACCTGATGAAGCCAGATGCGGTCCCCAAGGCGTGCTGCGCCCCCACCAAGCTGAGCGCCACCTCCGTGCTCTACTACGACAGCAGCAACAACGTCATCCTGCGCAAGCACCGCAACATGGTGGTCAGGGCCTGCGGCTGCCACTGAGGCCCTGCCCCCGCCGCTGCTCCCCCCCACCAACCCCGGGTCAGGCCCCTCTCCAGAGGCAGGAAACCCTCCAACCCAGCCTGACCTCAGACGGGTTGGCCCTCGGAGATCAACATATCTATGCTCCTCTCTCCTTCCTGCCAGGGCTGGATCTTCTCCAGGCCCCTCCTCCCCCTTCCCTGCCTGAGGTTTGTGACAGTCTTTTGGCCTCCAGGCCTGGTGGTCTAAGTCATCAAGCAGGTTCTCTCCCAGCCTCCTCCTCCAGAATCATGTGCTGACCAACATTTTGGGTTTGGAACAAAAGTCGTGTCTGAGGATCTATCCATGTCCATTGCTGGCCCAGGCTTGGGGTAATATGGACTGAACTGAGAGGCACCTAGGGCCCAAAATGGCTCCCTCGGGCTCTTTGCTGTCCATTTGAGGGCGTGGATATGTGTACACAGGGTCTGGTCCACCTTCGGTTGCCTGCCCCTCCCAGGCATTTTCTGGGTACTTTTGTTGGAATGTGAACTTGCCCTCGTTGTGTCGTCGTGGATCTGAATTATCAACCTGCTGGTAGGCATGTGGGTCAACTCAAGAACAAGCTGAATGAACAACATGATGTAGGGCCAAGGCCAATGCAGCTGTCCCCCTCCATCTTCCCCCCATCTTCCTGCCTTGATCTGCCTCTGCTGTCTGGGGGAGAGGACAGGGCATGGACATTTGGCCGTTGTAGAAACAAAAAATTTGGAAGGCTTCACTCGCCTGTCACCACGTTGAACCATGAGGAGCTCAGCTCCATGGAAAAGTTATCTTTTTATTGAGCCTAGCATGGTGGATACATTGGGTGGCCCAGGATGACAGTGCTCAGCACAGATGACATCATTTCCCTTTCCCTTTGGCATGGCAAACATTAATCATCCATCTTGATATTTTTTCCTTCCAAATCTGTATAGAATTTCAAAATGATCTGTATTAGAACTCCATGCCGCCATAGCCAAGAGATCAGAGCTGACATGTGAAGTGAAAACTGTTTGCCATCTTCTGCCATGCTAAGGAGCAATCCACTTCACCCACAGCGGTGCCTCTGTGACCCCAGGCAGCCTGTGGCTGGGCCTAGGGCCTCCCAGCACCTGCTCGTGTCCAGAACTTGTCAGAAACAGGCTGTCATAATCTGCATCGCCCTGTGAGCCCGAGACAAGGTCCCTGTCCCAGGGGAGTGACAGGCAGTAATCAGGCCGGCCCGGGGTGGGGAGGGTCCTGGAAACTGCCACAGGCCACTGGAACGTTTGATTTCTGACTCGCTAAGCCGGTAAGTTACCTGCTGGGGCAGACAGAGTCCCGCTGCCCAAACCCTGAAATACTGTGTCGTTCAAAGCCGCTTGGGGACCCAACCCCCGTGTGCCCCAGGATGCGCCCCTCAGCAGTCACTCGGCACCCCGAGGAGGGGCCCCGGGACAGCAGGTGGGACAGTGGGTGTGGACGCTGGGGCCCTGCTGTAGGACAGCGGCGCCTCCGCAGGGACCGGGAAGGGACTCTGGAGCGAGCGCGGAGGGAGAGACCCTCCCCGGGTACACGGAAGATGGGCCCAGACTGTCTGCAAGGTGGAGAATTCCCCATTAGTGCAGGGATCTGAACTCTGGCGTAGGAGACTGGATTTGTAGATGGCTTCCCTGTCTGGGCCTCATTTTCCATCCATACCTGAAAGCAATGAGCTTTTCGGGTCTCCAAAGGGCCTCCTGCCAGGAATCGTTCTGCCAGCCCTTTTTCACACTGCGCCCAGATCCAGCCTTGGCACCCCAAACTCGGTTGAGGTGGCAGTGACAGGTCAGAGTTGGTATGTAACAGGGAACCTGTTTGCCATTCTAGTCCTTTGACACTTCTGTCTTCCTAACATCAAGGACTGTCTTTTGGGCAAATATAAATTTAACATTAGCCAGTGATTTTAACAGTTTTTAACTTTACCTGTACCTGTGGTGCCCAGCCAGCAGCCTGGCACAATTAGGGTGCACCAGGAATGTCTGTCAAATCACTGCCAAGGCTTATAGACTGGGAGCACACCTCACCTGTCAGGCTGAGCACGGCACGGATGCCGGGAGGCCGTAACCTTCCTTTTGCATGCCCGACACCTGAAAAATAAGCCTTTGCCTGCCTACCTGGCTCAGACTTCCGCAACCTTTGCCATCCACGCAGTCACTGAATGAGATCGCGTAGAAAAAGACCTGAGCAGTGAAACAACTGTGAATGGATACAAGGCCCATGCATTTTATCCCGTTTATTGCATGATATTGCACGCACTTGCTGCATGCGTTGTATTCCCAGTTACCAGTTTGCTGAGCCACGCACCGCAGCTGCAGGGAGCAGCCCAGATGCCACCGTTTCCCTTTCTCTCGCTCAGGGCATGGCTTGTTTATCTGGTTGCATGGGACCGGAAGGATAAATACGGGCGGCTGGTCAGACCCGACAGCGACCACGAGTCAGTGACTTGCCAGGAAGGGAGGGCATGTGGGAAAGGGCTGATGACAAATGCACAGCAGTCAGCCTTGGTTTGGGCAGTGCGAGGCTGGCCTCAAGGCCAAGCAGCACATTAGTGTTCACGGTTTTCTAAGGTGGGAAAGTGACCCGTTCTGGAAAAATCCCTAAGAAATAGGAAAGCAGCATAGCAAGAGGGATTTTGAAGTCAAATGGGTTTGAACCTTGGTTTTTCTTCTGTGGAGCAGGACATTGGTTCTTTCCTTCCAAGCTATTACAAAGATCAGATATGGACATTCACATGTAGGACAATGTCTGCCAAATAAACACTTAGCAACAGGTGCCTGTTGGCGTTATTACAAAAGAATTTGCTGATCTGCTTAGTCCCTTCCGTGCTTGTCCACTAAACCTCCTTCCAGGAAGTGTTCTGTAGGTGACGGGAGTATTTATTTCAGAGCTGAGCTTTTTCCTGAAAAATCTACACCCTGCAATCCATGGAGGGAGAACGTTGTATTCTCACCTGCTTTCAAGGCCTAAGGAAAGTGCCTGGTTATGGCCAGGGCTGTGAAGCTTTCCCTGTGTTCCCAGAGGCAAGGGGATCCCACCAGCCTGCTGAAGGTACAAAGCTTGACCCACCCTCTTAAAAAATGGGTTTTTCATTTATTACAAAAATAATGCAGTTTTGGAGGAAAAACTGGAAAAATACAACTGAAATCGCCATAGTTGTATGACTCAGATAAACACACTTAATATTTTGGTGAATTTATTTCTCGGCCTTTATCTTAGGATATACACATATAGATGTTATATATCATAGATATTTTTACAAAATTAGGATCATACTTATATAAATTGCTTTGAAATATGCTTTTCCCACTTTATTATGCAGTAAAAATTTTCCTGTTAATAAATATTTTTTGAAAACATGGCTTTCTAGGTTTTTAACCCCCGAAGCCTGCGAGACTCAGTGTTCACAACTAAAAAGTAGGTCCCTAATGCCTTCCTGGGAGGGCTGCTGCAGGCTGTTGTGACTGGGGCCTAGAGCTCGCAGCGCCTGAATCCGACAGGGGGCTCCAGCAGCCGCAGGCCTGACCTCAGGGCCACAGGCTGAAGGAGTCCGCGCACCGGCAAAACCAGCCCTGTTTGCCGTAACAGAGCAACACGCACATGGACCAGGAGGCCCGAGGCAGGCACTCCGTCCTCGGGCCACAGCAAAGGCCACATGGCACACGCCGGTTCACTTCCAACAGTGCCGTCTTGGCACGCACCAGAGGTTTGGTGCTGTGATAGCTGAACCAGGCAGCCGGGCCGCTGCTCCCGGGCTCTGGGCCTGGCTTCCTTGGGTCTCCCCAAAGGGTCCAGGCTAATTATAGGGACCATGACCGTGTCTTCCCCCAGGGCCTTGGGCCCCCTGCCTTAGACTGAGGCTAGAGCCCAGTAAACCTCCCAGGACCCCATTAAACTAGGGGGAGGCAGGCCGAGCTTCCTGTCCCAGCTCTGCCATATTCTGGGTGACTCTGCAGCATGTCACCCGGGCCGTGGTTTCCCTCTGTATAGGGTTCTGCTGTGGATACGGTGATAACACCTGTGGACACTCTGGAGAGCACCGGGAGGGGCAGTGAGCCCAGTGGGTGCTACCAGGGAAGAACAGAAAGTAACAAAGTTATTGTCACAGAAGTCAGGCCCCTCTTGGGAGGTGGCCATGCTACACCCTTTATACGCCTCCTTTCCTGGTGACTGACCTGTGATGGCCAGAGTCTGCCCTCAGAGTGGGGGCCTGTGCTTTGAGGGAAGGTCTCTTTTGGGAGCTCCACGGGGTCAAGGGTAACCATGTGGTGATACATCCTAGCCTCAAGGAGACAGAAACTCTGAGCAGGAGCTCAGCCAAGGGCTGGGAGTCCGCTGGATACACAGAAGCCAGAGGTAGGGCCAGAATGACATCATCCCTCACAGGAGTGCTCCCAGGTCACCAGGGCCAGGAGGCATCTGGCTTGTCCAGATCTCAAGATGAAAAAGCCCAACTCGGTGGATTCTGAATGGTCCTGGTAACCCAACCACAGAGAGGTGTCTAGTGGCCATGGGGCTCAGTCCCTGCTCAGGGCCTTCAGCAGGTGAGGGATTCTTGAAAACCACCTGGCTGAGCAGTATGTGCAGAGGGAATAGAGAGAGGAGCCAGCCTGACTTGAGCAGTGGCCGCATTAGAAGGACCAAGCTCAGCACGGGGTGGGACCATGTGTTTCAGCCATCAGCAAACTTGTCCTACAAAGGTTCAAGCAGTCAATATTTTAGGCTCTGAGGCTGTGTTGGTTCATTTTGTGTCAACTTGGCTAGGCCACGATAGCCAGTTTTTGGTCAAACACCAGTCTAGATGTTGCTGAGAAGGTACTTTTCAGATGTGATTAATGTCTAAAGCAGCAGACTGGAAGTAGCGCAGATTACCCTGAACAATGTGGGTGGGCCTCATCCAATCAGTGGAAGGCTGTTAAGACAGAGAAGACTGAGACTGCACGAGGGAGGAGGAATTCTGCCTCCAGACAGCCTTCGGACCCGAACTGCACCATCAACTCTTCCCTGGGTCTCCAGCCAGCTGGCCCTACAGAATTCCGACTTGCTAGCCCCCACAATCACGGAGCCAAGTCCTTAAAATAAATCTTCCTCTATATACATATCTACACCCAGCCTCCTGGTTCTGTTTCTCTGGAGAGCCCTAACATTGGGACCACACAGTATCTGTCCCCGCAGAAGCAGCCACAGAGAATATGTAAATGGATGGATGTGGCTGTCTTCCAGTAACTTTTTACTCAACAGAAAAGCAGCAGGTTGGATTAGGCCCGCAGAGCCGGGTGGCCTCCTGCCTCTGGACAAGTAAGCCCAGTACCCGGCACAGAGAGGCGCTCTGAGGTATAAAACAGCGTTTACAGATCCTGTAGACTGGGGGCGCCTGGCTGGCTCAGTCAGCAGAGCATGCGACTCTTGATCTCAGGGTCAGGAGTTCGAGCCCCACACTGGGCGTAGAACTTCCTTAAAAAAAATTCTGTAGAACAAATATGAAGAAACAAACAAACGAATCGTTGCGAGTGATAAAGTACCCCCGCTGCCTCAAAGACTAGCCGGCAGGAGTTCTGGAGTGGAAGGCGGCAGAAGACAGACTTCTTTGATATTTTTGATTTCCACTGTCCTGACCGTGGTTTGACAAGGGTACCTGGCTTGAAGATACACCACCTGGCACTTCAGGGAATCCACCCAAGGGAGGAAAGAAAAGCTATGCCCTATCCCTCTGCCAGCCTAATTCAGCAGAGATGCAATCTCGGACAACTCCTAGGAACTAGCTGGACTTGCAGTACAAGAACTCGGGTTTATTTTACCAGAAGCGATGTCCAGGAGCCCCGCTGGTGGGCCCAGGAGAAGCCGTGGCAGCAAAGGCCTGGAAAAGGCCATGCACCGCCCGTCCACAGTGGGGACCCCTGCGAGCTCCCGGGCCCACGGCCACACCTGGGAGAGCCAGAGGGAGCCCGGGCCGAGTCTGCAGAAGAGCTGCTCCAAGCTGACCCCCAAGAAGGGCCACGACACACACCCCTGCTTGCCACAAAGGGGACAGACGCCCTCACATGCTGGTTCCCAGGCTGACGGCTCCTGGATAGGCAGGGGCGGTGCGGAGACAGCGTGTGTGGACTCACACGTACTCCCCGCAGTCGGCGATGATCACCTTCTGCTTTGGCTTCCCGTCCTTGCTGCCCTGGGCCTTTGTGGGGGCAGAGGAGGAAGAGGGTGGGAAGTAAGGAGCGGCTCGGGGACACCCTCCCCAGGTGCCCGCCCCCGCCTGAGCAGAAGCAGCCCTCCCCGGGAGCCGCCGCGGCCCCCGTCCAGCTCTCCCACAGGGCTGCGCACCCAGGGCCCGGGCAGCCGCCCACCTCAATCTGCCGCAGGACATCCAGGCCTTCCGTGACCTCCCCAAACACCACGTGCTTGCCGTCCAGCCAGTCCGTCTTGTCACACGTCAGGAAGAACTGAGAGCCGTTGGTGTTTGGGCCGGAGTTGGCCATGGAGAGCAGGCCTGGGGGAAAGAAGGAGCACGTCAGCCCCTCCTGCCGGCTCCCGGCCCCCAGAGGGACGTCTGCGCAGGAGACTGAGCCGGGGAGATGCTGCCGGAAGCCGGCCCGGGATGCGGGCCGAGCACTGGCCACTGGCAAGATGGATGCTGTTGGCACCTGCGACAGGAGTGGCTTCAGTGCCAGGCTGGGGCTCGAGGTCTGGCGGAAGAGGGACAGACAGAACAGAAGGCAGGGCAGTCTACACAACTTTTCCTTACCAGGGGGTGAGAGGCATGGATGACAGCTCACAAGTCAAAGGATGATTTTTTTTTTTTTTTAAAGATCGATACCGCACAGTTTTACGCCACTGGGCTGATCCAGCAGAGAACGCAGCCACGAGGCAGCAGGGGGACAGCTACAGAAGCCACGCTCCTAGGTGGGAGAGAGGGGATGGGGTCCGGGCCACGAGCAGAGGGGCCGGCCGCAGGGAGACAGCTCCTGCCCGTCCTCGGAGGGAAGGCAGAGTGGGCACGTGGCGGGGGACCCAGGGGACCACGCATCAGCTTGGAGGGCGATGTGGAGGCTTCGGGAGGGAGGGAGCGAGCAACCGTCGTCTCGGACGGGGACAGAGCACGGTTAACTGAGGGGCTCTAGTAACGCTGCCAGGCCCCTGAAGAAGTGTAGTCCTAAATTTCAAGATGACCACTCAGCACAGAGCTTTCTCTAGTCGCGGGGGGACTGACCACTCACAGAGGGGTACGTCTGACAGGACGGGGCAGCGGGGCTGAGGGACTCAGCTCACCAAGGCAGGCCCCAGAACCCAAGCTAGACCCCAGGGGGTGTGTGGGGGTAGTGGGGGGAGTGGATGGAAGCCGCTTCCCCGACTCCCGCCAGGCCGAGCGGCCGCTGGGTCACTCGCTGGCTCGCCTGCAGACCCGAGCCCTGCCCCCCCGTACCCGCCACCGCATCCCATCGGCTCCCACCTGGTCCCGTGTGTTTGAGGATAAAGTTCTCATCGTCGAACTTCTTCCCGTAGATGGACTTGCCCCCCGTGCCGTTGTGGTTCGTGAAATCGCCGCCCTGGCACATGAACTGGGGGATGATGCGGTGGAAGCTACTTCCCTTAAAGCCGAAGCCCTTCTCGTGGGTGCACAGGCATCGGAAATTCTCTGGCATGGAGAAAGGAAAAGGTGCGGAGGTCAGAAAACAAAACAGAGCCGTTCCTCGGGCCGTGGGTATGCTCTGCCTCGCGTGCCACGGGAGACGAGGAAGGGAGCCACCGAAGCTGCGAGCGAGATGCCAGGAGCCGTGGAGCCCCATGGACAGGCCCGACCGAGCTGCTTCGACCACGTGAAGACGGGCTCTGGGATGGGCCGCACAGTGGGCGTGCGGGCCGGGATCGGGATGCAGGGCTGGGAGCTGGTGGGCCGCATTGGGAAAACCGTGAGGCCGTGCAGGGTGGCAGCACCTCTGGCAAATTGGTGGCCATCGGGATGGGCATCCGATACTGGTCAGGACAGTGGTTGCCCACGAGCTACCCCCTCCCGTCACTCCTAGCCCATGTACTCTAATAACACAAAAGTCTTTGAGCAAACAACAAAACAAAAACAACCCCCCCCAAAAAAACAAAAAAACCCAAAACCTCTGTAGCTGGAATCTGATAAACTGTCTTTGTTTAGTGTTTGTATTTTCAATGAAAAATATGCCATGTATTCCAAACCTTTGTGATCCTCACACTGTGAAGGACTAGAGGGACTCTGGTTAAGAAGGAAAACTGAACACCTGCATTCCAGCTCTGCTCCACTCTAAATGGAGGGCAACTGATTTTTTTTTTTTTTTTAAAGAAAAACCAAACAGGATCTTAGAAGAAAACACGGGCAAATCTTCATGACTCTGGATTTGGTAACAGTTTCTTAAATATGACACCCAAAGCACAGATAACAAAAAAGAAAAAATAAATAACCTCATCAAAACTAAAAACCTTTGGGCATCAGAGGACACTCAACAGACAAGGTAACCCACAGAACAGGAGAAAGTATTTGCCAATCTTATCTGGTGAGAGTTCAATATCCAGAATATTTAATGAACTCCTGCAACTCGGTAACAGAAAGACGAACAACCCAGTTGATAAATAGGTAAAGATTTGAACAGACATTTCTCCAAAGATCCACAAATGACCCATAAGCACACAAAATGATGTTCAACACCATTGGTCATTAGGGAAATGCAAATCAAAACCACAATTAGATACCGCTTCATACCCACTAGGATGGCCATCATCAACAGAAAATAATGAGTGTTGGCAGGAATATGAAGAAACTGAGACCCTCATACACTGGAGGTGGGAATGTAATGTGCAGCCACTGTAGAAAAGAGCTTGGCAATTTCTCAAAAAGGTAAACACAGAATTGCCAGGTCAGTACATTTCCACCCCTAGGTATGTACACAAAAGAGCTGACAAAAGGCGTTAAAACACATATTTGTACACGAATGTCCACAGCAGCATTATTCACAATAGCCAGAAAGTGGAAACAATGCTCGTATCCATCAACAAATGAACGAACAGCATGTCACATATCCAGACGATGGGATATTATTCAGCCATAAAAAAGGGATGGAGGGCGCCTGGGTGGCTGAGTTGGTGGGCGACTGCCTTCGGCTCGGGTCATGATCCTGGAGTCCCGGGATCGAGTCCCACATCGGGCTCCCTGCTTGGCAGTGAGTCTGTTTCTCCCTCTGACCCTCCCCCATCTCATGCTCTCTCTCTCATTCTCTCTCTCTCAAATGAATAAATAAAATCTTTAAAAAAAAAAAAAAGGGATGGAATCCCAACAGATACTATAACACGGATGAACCTTGAAACATGCTAAGTCAAAAAAGCCAGTTACAAAGGAAAGGCCACATATTGTATGATTCTATTTCTAGGACATGTCTAGAACAGGCAAATCCAGAGATGGCGAGTAGATTAGAGGCCACCAGGGGCGGAAGGGAGACAATGAGGAGTGCGTTAATGGGGTCCACAGTTCGGTATGGGGTGAACACATTTTGAAGACAGCAGGGATGGTTGTACAGCATTGTAAATGCAATCAATACCACTGAACTATACATTTAAAAATGGTTAAAAAGTGGGGTGCCTGGGTGGCTCAGTCGTTAAGCATCTGCTTTCGGCTCAGGTCATGATCCCAGGGTCCTGGGATCGAGCCCCGCATCGGGCTCCCTGCTCAGTGGGGAACCTGCTTCTCCCTCTCCCTCTGCCTGCCTCTCTGCCTGCTTGTGCTGTCAAATAAATAAATAAAATCTTAAAAAAAAAAAAAAAAAGGTTAAAAAGGCCAAAAAAAAGAGAGCAAAAGAGAGGGGACACAACAGCAACATAAAAGTTTTGAAAGCTAGAAAACAGACAAATCATAGGCGATGTAGCAGACTTGAGAAAGCTGAATCTCGGCAGCTACACCCCGATGCTTACAGCAGCATCATCAACAATAGCCAAATTATGGAAGGAGCCCAGATGTCCAACTGATGCATGGATAAAGAAGATGTGGTATATATATACAATGGACTATCACTCATTCATAGAAAGGAATGAAATCTTGCATTTGCAATGATGTGGATGGAACTAGAGGGTATTATGCTAAGCGGAACAAATCAGTCAGAGAAAGACAAATACCACATGATTTCACTCATATGTGGAATTTAAAAAACAAAACAGATGAGCAAAGGGGAAAGAAAAAAAAAAAAGGAAGCAAACCATAAGTGATGAATCACTAAATTCTACTCCCGAAACTACTATTATACTGTATGTTAACTAACTAGAATTTAAATAAAAACTTCAAACATTTAAGACAAAAAAAAAAGAAAAGAAAGCTGAATCTTAAGCTGGTAGAGCTGAGAAGAAACTCACTTTATGTTGCAGAAATGCCAAAAGCTCAGGTACAAGGTGAAGGTAGTTCTAAAAACAGTAAAGTTGGTTGAAAGCCTATTTAAGAAAATAGCCAACCCCCAGATCCTCCCCTGACCCCCACGGGCAGCCGGCTGGAGGTCTGCTCTCTGGTAGGTTAAAGCAGAGGTCTCTGGACTGGGATATACTAGACATAGCCAGGGGCTGAGGTACCGTAATGACAAACAGATTAAGTGAAAGTTTATATACTGCCCCCATCTCCCGCCGCCGCCACGATGGCTAATACCTGGATGCAGAGCCTCCAGCAGGAGGCTAGACTCTTCTCGGGGGACTCCAAGCTGTCCAAGAGAAGGGAAGTCAGGGAAACGGACATCTGGGGTCTGACAGAGAAAAGACCCCAACTGAATCACCCCACCGTGGAAGCCACAGCCAGCAAGCCTTACCATGGCTTAGGTGAGGAAGGCATCTAATGTGAAAAGCAAAGACCAAAACAAACAGACCAAACACAAAGCAAAACATAATTAACTCAGGAAAAAGTGATTTGAGACATAAACTATAGGAAGAAAAAACTTTAGTAATGTCCCTGGAAAGATGAAATGATATTACCTCTGGGAAATAAGCAGAGAGTGTTATAGAAAAAGAACACTTAGGAAGGTTCCAGAAAGAAGAGAGAAATCAGAGGGGACAAAAGTGAAGAAATAATTGAAAGAAATTTTCCCAACCAGAGGATAAAACACTGTCCTGTGGGTGTGGTACACAGAGTAATGGCCCCCTAAAGACATCCTTGCCATTGCAGATGTGATTAGGGTTATGGATTGACCTCGAGATGGGGAAAGCAGCCCCAATTATCCAGATGGGCCTAATATAATCATGAGCCTGTGACAGAATTTTTCCCAGCTAAGGTTAGAAAGAGAGATTCAAAATGTGGGAGGGACTGGATCCACCACTGTTGGCTCTGAAGGTGGAGGAAAAGGGGGGCTGCGAGCCTCCAGAAGCTGGGGATAGCCCTCAGCTGACAGCAGCAGGGAAATGGGGTACCTCAGTCCTACAGATACAGGGAACTGAATTCTGCCGACGACGTGAGTATCCCTGGAAACATCCTCCCCTAGAGCTTCCAGCAGGGAAGGCAGTGACCCGGCCACCATCTTCATTGTAGCCTACAGGACTTCTGGCCTACAGAATGGGAGATAATAAATTTGTGTTGTCATAAGCCACTAAGTTTGTGGTAATCTGTGACAACAGCAAGAGAAAATGAATACAGCGAAGCCCACTGAATATCCAGATCATGTAAGGTCTGTCCAAAGGCATATGGTTTCAGGACACAGGACAGATACCCTGCAAGCCTCTATCTAGGGAGGGCTGGGAATAGCTCTTAAACATCTGGCTAGTGTCACTGAGTAAATGAACTTTAATTTTATTTAATTTAAATTTCAATAGTCACATATGGTGAGTGGCTACTATACTGGACAGCTCAGGACTAGACAGAAAAGAAGTTTTATATAAAGGATCAAGAATCAGAATGCCATTAGACTTCTCTAGAATTCTATACCCTAACTATCCATCAAGTGGGAAGGTACATATATTTAGTCTTCACTCTCAAAAAACTGACTTCCCAAGTTCTTTGCTGCAGAAGCTACAGAAGGATGTCTTCTACTAAAATGAGGGAAAGCACCAAAAAAGAAGACAACAGAGAGTCCAACCTAAGAGGCGAACACAAGAGACCCTACGACACTTGCTGTGCAGTGGGCCTGGAAAGCCGTGGTCCAGGCTGGAGAGAGTCAGAGGCTCCAAAGAGGAACTTCTACAGGAGAGCGAAACTGACAGAATATCTGGGGTGTGTGAACATGATGAAAGATTTACACAGGCAGCAGAATTAGGGGGAGCATCAGGAATAAATGCACAGAAGGCTAAGCTTGTATGAAAACAAGACAATTACAAATCCCAGGAAAGCAAAATGCTGTGCGTGAAAGGAGGTTACCCTAGTATGATGCTTACGTAGTCAGAATAACCTATGGCCAAACAAACTTATGGTAACTCTATGAGTAAGATGAAGGGGCAGCGAAAGGGATTTAAAAAGCTGATTCCTTATCTCCTAAAGTGGGAAGCCAACAGATGTCTAAAACAAAAAAGCCAGGAAATAACAACGTAAATCTCTTATCTACCAAAAGGGAGATAAAAACCGAAAGAACCAGCTGAGAGTTGAAACTGGCTGCCTCCGAGGAGCGCTGTGGGGCGCCGAGGCCAGGGGCCAGTGCTGGGGGCCAAGGGGCTGCTGTTTTTCAAAACAAGCTTTGTGAAATTAACTTTGTAAACTATATGCCTACATAATAAAATTTAGGTTAAAAAAAAAGAAAAGAGGGCGCCTGGGTGGCTCAGTCGTTAAGCGTCTGCCTTCGGCTCAGGTCACGGTCCCAGGGTCCTGGGATCGAGCCCCACATCGGGCTCCCTGCTCTGCGGGGAACCTGCTTCTCCCTCTCCCACTCCCCCTGCTTGGGTTCCCTCTCTCGCTGTGTCTCTCTCTGTCAAATAAATAAATAAAATCTTAAAGAAAATTGTCATCTTAAAAAAAAAAAAAAGAAAGAAAAGAATAAGAAGTCAATATTTACACTAGACAGACTCAAGAAACTGTTAGTTAACAGCAGTTACTTCTGGAGAGTAAAACTGGACGTGGGGCGGGAATATGGATGTTTTCTACTTACTGCCTTCAGTATTGTTCAAATATGTGTGTACAGTTCTTTTGGGTTTTGTTTGTTTAACCACGAATACGTGTTTACTTACATTAAAAAAACAAACAAACAAACACCCTCTTATTATTAAAAAATAGCAAAGCAGCACCTATAAAGCTTCAAAAGTGCCTGGTCGGACTCAATCTGTTACTAGATCCCAGGATCTGAGATGCCTCAAATCCACTCAGGTCAGCGGTTGTCAAGAGCACAGGAGCGGAGGCAGTGAGAACTGGGGAAGGCCCACCGCTCAGCCCCCCGCACCCCGCCCCGGCAGCCCCGGCATCTGGCCCACAGCCCGCTCACCCGCTGTCATGGGAACAACGTCGGAACGCAGCAACATCCGGATGCGGCCGGCCGGCTTGTTCCCGATCTTGATGTCCATGTACACCTGAGGATTCGACCGGGCCTTTTTTGCCGTGGGCTCTCCCTGGGCGCAGAAGAAATGTCAGGTTGGGGAGCACTAGACTCCGCAAGTCGGAGAGCGAGTATTCTGCATACACATCAAGAACCCAAGGGCAGCGAGCGGGCCGCAGCAAGGTGCTGCCAGCCGGAGCCCCAGGGCCGGGACCCCGAGCACCGGCTAAATAACTGCCCCCCCCAACTGACCCCGCAGGCTCGGGACCGCGTCCCACTTGCCCTTAGACGCCAGCTCGCTGCACCCTGGCCTGTGGTCCCAGAACCCCAGCTCCCTGGCCCGCAGTGCGCGCCTCTCCGCACCCGCAAAGCCACCTCACGCCAGCCAGACGGACAGCACATCCTCCTCTACGCTCGGCCCTGCGCACCCCCAGGCTGGCTACAAGGGAAGCCAGGAGGGCAGCCCTCTGGCATGCTCAGAAGGCAGTGGGGGAAGGGGGGGCCTGTTTTCTACCCCGAGGAGACATCTGCAGGCATCACATGTGTTCCAAAGAGAAAAGTCAAATGTTCACAACTGGTCTGGGGTTCAGTTTAGCCGACGTGTGCGCAGACCCAGCGCTGGAGGACCCTCTGGCTGTCATCTGCCACCAGCCTCAGCAACCACGCACAGAGTGCCTGCCACGGGCAGGGGGCTGCTCTCCCCGTTGACATATGTAGCTCATCAACTCTTTACAACCATCCTGAGCATGAAGCCGTACCACTATTTATCCGCATTTTATTTTATTTTTTTAAAGATTTTATTTATTTATTTGACAGAGACACAGCGAGAGAGGGAACACAAGCAGGGGGAGTGGGAAAGGGAGAAGCAGGCTTCCCGAGGAGCAGGGAGCCCGATGCGGGGCTCAGTCCCAGGACCCTGGGATCACGACCTGAGCCAAAGGCAGACGCTTAACGACTGAGCCACCCAGGCGCCCCTTATCCGCATTTTGTAAGTGGGGCAATGGAGGTACAGTGAAGTGCACTCATTTGTCCAAACAAGAGGGCGGTAAGGGGTGAAGCTGGAATTTAAACCTAAATCATCCCACCCCACCCCCGAGCCCATGCTCTTAACCACATTCCTCCACCACACTTTTTAGTTAATAAGATGCTGAATACAAGGCCCCTAACCTCACAGAATCCCTGCCTAGAAAGGGACAGGCAATAAACACTTGAGCAGCCTGCACAAAAGCAAGGACAGACAGGGAAACAGACTGGGTTTCCAGAGGGTGGAAGTGAGACGGCCAGGTGTGGGGACAGGAGCTGGGGAGCACCCCCCCAACTTTATCCCTTCGGATGGGTGATGGGAGCCACTGAAAAGTTCTCAGCAGGGCGCTGGATGGCTCAGTTGGTTAAGCGACTGCCTTCGGCTCAGGTCATGATCCTGGAGTCCCGGGATCGAGTCCCACATCGGGCTCCCTGCTGAGCTTCTCCCTCTGACCCTCCCCCCTCTAATGTGTTCTCTCTCATTCTCTCTCTCAAATAAATTAAAAAAAAAAAAAAATCTTTAAGAAAAGTTCTCAGCAGGAGTCAGGGCATCAGTCTGTGCCTTTAGCAGATCATTCCTAGCTGGCCTGATTAAGGACTAGAGAGCAGTGCACTGGAGACTAGTTAGGAAGCTTCGGCAAGTATGTGCAGGAGAAGAGGCTGCTGGGGGCAGTGGGACAAACGGGGGAGGGGGACTCAGGAAGGTTTGAGAGGAAAACTCAGCAGCATGTGATGTGCTGGCTGTTTTACAGAAGGCATCTCTGTGAAGGCCATGTGTGTGCTCTGCTTTGCAACCAAATTTCTGGCTTGAGTCAGTGTGTGTGCGGATGGGTGGTGGCAAATCAACAAGACGAAGAACAAGATTAGAGAGAGGAGGGCACCCATTCTGGGCAACTCGAAGCTGCCTGTGACACTTGCGGCCGAAATGTGCGCAGCCTGGCCCTAGGAACAGAGGCCAGGAGAGGCTGCAAAAAACCCGTGACTGCTAGTGTTTCAGCCAAGAGGAGAAGGGGAGAGGGAGAGGGATGCCCTGAGCCAAGAAAGAAATCCAGAGAACAACACTCACAGGGAGCGGTGGGAAAGCCCAAGGAGCCAGCCAGAGAGGGATGCCCAGAGTCAGGAGAGAGTTGCCAGCAGGCTGCTCCTGGCGAGGGAGAGCCTCGAACCTGCGTGCAGACTGAGGGAAGGTGCCACCACCCCGGCCCGCCTCCCCTGCATCGGGGCGGGGATAGGGAGACCATGAGCCTGTGCAAAGCGCTCCAGTGAAGGAGGGACTGGGCAGGAGGGATGAAGAGGAGCACCCACTCGCCTCCCTCACCTCAGGCAATCCCAACCCAGGACTGGGCAGAACTGGGCAGAGTGGAACAGCTCATTACACAGAGCACAAAGGTGAGAGAGAGACCCAGAGCTTCTCTTTCACTCACTCAATACCACCTTTACCACAATACTAAGACTTTGGTTTTCATTCTCTCTGCTTCTGTATATGTACTTGCAAATTTCCACAAAAACATAACATTAAAAAAAATAAATAAATAAAATAAAGGCTCCTGTGGAAAGTGCCAGCCCCTCGAGGGGAAGCGCATGCCTTCGATCTCACCTCCTGGGTTTCTACTTTGGGAGGCTCTGACCCTTCTTCCTCTTTATTCTCTTCAAGAGTCTTCCCAGAAAACTTCTTCAGCCAGTCATCATCTGACCACACTGAAAGGAAAAGAATCGAACAAATGCTAAGAAATGCAAGCTTCTCGGCCAACTGCTCGCTAGCTGCTTTGGTCAGCAAAGTGGAACACACTCCGTGGCCCTCTGAGCCAGAGGCTTTGCTGAGGGAACTCCCAAGTATAACGTTTCCACTGGGAATGTCAGTCCTGATGTCCAGCTCTTACAAGGCTAAGTAAAAAAACTGTGCCAAGACGGAAGGTGTTGCCTTGCCAGTTCCAGCCCTGGACGGGAGCATCTCAGGAACCAATGCTGAGGAAACTGGGAAAGAGAAGCGAGCAGGCAGGGTTTCTCTCATAATGCAAACAATTTCTCTGAGAAGCTCAAACTCTTTTTCATTCCCTACAATGGTGGCTCATGCCCTCTGCCAACATGAATCATTCTCTACTCCTCTGCATCCACAGCGGCAATCAGCACCTTTTCCAAGTAAATTGGGATAAAAATGCAGCAACTAAGGCCACATTGGAGGACATAACAGGGAACCTGTGGTTGCCCCCACTCACCTGGCCTGGACGAGCCCTCCTTAATCCTCATTGGTTTTGCCAAATTGACACGAATTGTCCGTCCAAAGAGCTCAGATTCATTCTGTAAAGATTGAACACCCAGCTGCTTTAACTCTGTCAGGTTAAGAGAGTCAGACAGCTTTGCGTTTGGTTTTGATACACCCGAGACACGCTCATGATTTGTTCTCCCTTAACCCGTGAGCCCCTAACAGCAAGCTCTGTGCCCGCCACACAGCAGCCCACGGGTTGCAGGCAATCTCCCCCCACCACACACCTCCTTTCTTTCATACTAGCAAAAACCTGTGCTCCTGAAAGTGACTCCAGGTCCAGAGTACCCTGGGATTACAAGGATACAAGCAGTTTCCAAGTACTTGAGTTCACCTTCAAAAGTCAAGATCTGCTTTAAAATGGTGAGAAATGATCTCTGGGGGCTGAAGATGTTCAGGTAACAGAACAGGAATAAAGAACTTTATCCTCCAAAGATAATTGGTACCAGGAACGGTCACTTCACATAAATCCATTTAGAGCAGTGAAGAAAACGTCACAGTAAAAAGTGAAGGGAAAAAAAAAAGGAATGGGACTTTATTGTGATGAAACTAAAAATAAGGGAAATAAATTTATTATAACTTTCAGGTTTACGTACTAATTTGTAGAGCAAAGATGTAACAGGTGCTGGTTAATGTGCAGTGTTTTTTCCAACAAAATTCTATCAATAGTATGATATGACATCATTGCACTTCCTATCTGATGTGAAAATCACAAAGATCTCAAAGAGGACACAAATACTCCAGCGTTTCATCATTACTCCCAAAGACCTCTCCAGGATATTTAAATCATTGGCATCAGTAGCATACCCTGCCACTATCCTTACTGGAAATTTCTCCTCACTTGTAATTGCTCTGAAGCTTCAGGATATTCTGCCCCTTCTGCAAAATATGCTATTTCACTGTGCAATCAATTTACATAGTGTTTGCAATTTATTATCCTAGACATGGGGCAGCCAGTGAGAGACTGGCCTATAACAAGGGTTTGAATGTATATCACTGTTAAACGGGGAAGGACCAGTTCGAGTAAGGACCAGTCTTAAAAGTGATCGATTCACAGTGAATCTTTTCACACGCTGACAGCTTTTGCTTCCCCGTGCAACCTTGTAACTTGGCAGTTCGGCAAACCAACAGATGCACAAGGACCCTCCGCACCACCCAAAAGCAACTTCGGTAAGAATGAAGAGTCTCAGCCATACCATGTTGTCAATAGCTGCTGCAGCATCCTGCCGAAAAAAGACAAGGTCAAGTTTAGCTTCTTGTGGTGTCTAAACATATACTCAGCAACAGAAAAACAAAGTAAAACAAAACAAAAGAGGGAAAAGTCACATCTATACCTCTTGCCGAGGCTGTATGTGTCTCTAACAAAGAGTGCTTCCTGGCTGAGTTCAGAGCTGGTGGTGCGGCAATCTGCCATCTCCAGGAAGGCATAAGAAATATTCACCAGCACTGCCAGGCAAGAAGCCTCAGCGAGCAGAGCTACAGGAGCTCGGCAGAGTAAGAGGGGCACATCTATGCTGTTGACAGTCTAGAATTTGATTAACTGAGGGAAGTTTTCCATCAAGCAGCATGTCCTGTCTCTATGGAAGCATCAGCAAGAGGCCTAGAAACCTAACCAAATGGAGTCCAGCTGCCTTTGTAACCAGTAACAACACTCAAATAAGCCAAAGACTAAACACAGGTCACACAGAATTTTCTCACCTCTGCCAACTCAAATTCAACAAAAGCAAATCCTCGGTGCTTTTCTGAAAAAAAGGGGAAAACAAAAACAAGTAATTACCATGGGGGGCAACAGGAAGAAACATGGTCACAAGGAAAGTGAAGTCAATCACATACCATATCCGGACACTAGAAATTCTACCCAATCACTATTTTGTAAGAAGCAAGCTCCTTCTTCAATTCTTCCCAGTTTTTAAACAACATTTCAAGCAATATTGAATTTTGTCTTTTAGAAAACATAGCTAAATAATGAACTATACTTTTGATCTTTCAGGCAGTCAGTTCTTCTACCAAAGCCAAATTAAAACCTTAACCTCTGCATACAAGGCAAGTTATTTAACTTCTCAATTATTGATCCCACATTTTGAGCATCAGCTATGCATAAAGCACGAATCCTAAGACATGAATTAGGATGCTCACTCTTTATCCTCAGAAAAATGCTGATCTAACTAGAAAGGCCAAGCACAACAGTGTTCATTTAATGAAACCAACTAACTTTAGAGAGCGAACATAACCTTACAGGCGTACCTCATTTTACTGCACTTTGCTTTCCTGCACCTCATAGATCTCACAGTTTTTTACAAACTGAAGGGAGCCCTGCATCAAGCAACTCTAATGGCACCAGTTTTCCAACAGCATTTGCTCACTTTATGTTTTGTGTCACATTTGGGTAATTCTCACAGTATTTCAAACTTTTTCATTACTATTATATTTGTTATGGTGATCTGTGATCAGTGTTTACAACTCGCTGAAAGCTCATAGAATGGTTAGCATTTTTTAGTAATAAAGCATTTTTTTTAAGGTTTTATTTATTTATTTGAGAGAGAGAGAGAAAGAGCATGAGGGGGGGGAGGGTCAGAGGGAGAAGCAGACTCCCCTCCGAGCAGGGAGCCCGATGTGGGACTCGATCCCGGGACTCCAAGATCATGACCTGAGCCGAAGGCAGTCGCTTAACCAACTGAGCCACCCAGGCGCCCAGTAATAAAGCATTTTTTAAAAGATTTTATTTATTTGAGAGAGTGTACATACAAGCGGGGGTAGGGCAGAGGGAGAGGGAGAAGCAGACTCCCTACTGAGCCGGAAGCCCAACTCGGGGCTCAATTCTAGGACCCTGAGATCATGACCTGGGACAAAGGCAGATGTTTAACCAACTGAGCCACCCAGGCGCCCCAACAATATAGTATTTTTTTAAAGATTTTATTTATTTGACAGAACAAGAGAACATAAGCAGGGGAGCGGGAGAGGGAGAAGCAGACTCCCCGCTGAGCAGGGAGCCCATTGCGGGGCTCAATCCCAGGACCCTGGGATCATGACCTGAGCTGAAGACAGACAGGTAACCAACTGAGCCACCCAGGCGCCCCTAAAGTATTTTATTTTTTTAAAGATTTTATTTATTTATTTGACAGAGAGAGAGAGACAGCGAGAGAGGGAACAGAAGCAGGGGGAGTGGGAGAGGGAGAAGCAGGCTTCCCACCAAGTAGGGAGCCCAATGTGGGGCTCGATCCCAGCATTCTGGGATCATGACCTGAGCTGAAGGCAGACGCTTAACGACTGAGACACCCAGGTGCCCCGCCCCTAAAGTATTTTTCAATTAAGGTTGTACATTATTTTTTTTAGACATAATGCTATTACACACCTAATAGACTGCAATATAGTTACCTAACTTCTATTTGCACTAAGAAACCAAAAATTTCATTTGACTTGTTTTATTGCGATATTCGTTTGGTTGTGGTGGTCTGGAGCCAAACCTGCAGTATCTCCAAAGTATGTCCATATTGTTTTTTTTTACAAATAAAGATCCCAGGCCCAGAGAGTTTAAAGACCTTGCTAATAATCAAGCAGGGTCAATGACAGATTTAGGCCTAAAACTCCAATCTTAAAAATGACAACTAACTGGGGCACCTGGATGGCTCAGTCGGTTAATCGCCCAACTCGTGATTTTGGCTCAGGTCATGATCTCATGGGTAGTGAGATCAGGCCCTGAGTGGGGCTCCTCCCTCAGCAGGGAGTCTGCTTGAGATTCTCTCCTTCTGACCCTGCCCCCACTCCTGTGCTCGGCGCTCTAAAATAAATAAATAAATCTTAAAAAAAAAATGACAACAAAGGCAAAATAGAAAAACTGCACTGTACCTGTGATACCAATTGAAGGAAATCTCCCCCAGGAGAGCAGAGGCCAAAGCCCCTTGGTTGGGGCTGAGCTTCCCTGCTGCCCTGATTAACATTACAGCTGCCAAGAAAGGAGCAGGGGCAGTGGGGTGCCCAGCAGGTAGTTTGAAACAACAGTCAGATCTCCATGTAGCTCAAAACCTATCTTCCTACTGGGCTATTGAAAATTCGGTATATCACACTCAACAGATGGGACCCTCTGCAAAGTTATGTTGCACATAACCACAAGCCTCAGAACATTCCTTCTGCATCAAGATCACTGTCCTGCTGCCCTCACGAGGCACCCTCTTGAACTTTCCTACATATCAACCATATTTACGATGTATATTTAGAATTTTTTCAAATTCTTTTCCTCTTAGGATTCCGAACATGACATGAAAAAGACTCACCTGTTTCATAATCCAGAGGAATCTGAATATCTGTGATGTCTCCAAAAGGGATAAAGGCGGCATGAAGAACTTTGTCGTCCACCTCCTCTGCCAACCCACCTGCAAAGATGCCAAGTGCCTTCTACCACTGTCCTCCATTCTCTTAAGCAGTTCCTGCAGCCCAGTTAGCATGTGATAGCCAAGGAGAGGGGCTGTTCCATCCAGTCCTTTGGGTACATAAGCGCGTTCTCATGTGCTCCGTCCCCCATAATTAAGAAACACACCTCTTCACCCTTCTTGCAGACGCTCATCTTAGCGCCAGCGTTACTGCAATAGCTTCTTAAACTGGCCTCCCTCTCCTCCACACAGCCAACTAGAGCGATCCTGGGAACATGCAGATTTTAACCCATCAGTTTAAAGGAGTTTAAACTTGCTTAAACCCCCTCAAAGACTTCCCACTGTCCTCAGGATAAAGTACAAACTCCCTAGCAGCGTATACAAGGCTCTATAACCTGGGCCCTGCCAATCATTTCAACCTCTTTCCTTTGCTTCCTCAATTCTCTGGGTTTCCCGCAAGATGACCCCTTTGCTCCATGTGTAAGGCTGTTTCACACCTTCGGGTTTTTGCTCTTGCTGCTCCCTTTCAGTAAACACAACTGCCCCCACTTTGGCTACAAAGCGCTCATCAAACTTCGCTATGGGGGTTATTCTCACTTCTACCGGGTTAGTCTGGGAACTCCCTCCTTTAAAGGGGCAGGGGCCAGGCAGAGCCACCGCTGCAGTCAGGGTCTGTAAAATGAAAGAGCGCGAAGATCTGGAGCCTCATAATATTCCTCTACCAATCCTCCCGGCCCAGCGGGTGAAGGGGTTCCCGTTAAAGCTCAGCCGGCTTGGAAGGGAGCCGGAAAGACCTCTACGTCTGGAGCTAACTCCCCGAAGCGAAGCAATACCGCCATCGATCCGGCCTATACAAAGGCTCGCCACCCTCCGCGACCGTAGACGCGTTCCTGCCCCACGTCGAGACCCACTCCGGGTCGGTCAGCCCCGATTCCGCCTAGTTCCGCGCCTGCTTACCCACGTACAGCACACGCTTGGTAGTGGCCATCTTGCTCCCGCGCTCACCCGCCGGAAGCCGGTGGTCAGCCCGCCCCCTTCCCTCGGCCCCGCCCCTCCGGCCCCGCCCCCGCGCCTAGGCGCTCGCAGACCCCGCCCCCGGCTGTCAGTCAGCGTCGGCGGCGGGGGGAGGTGCGGCGCGGTGAGTGAGCTGCGGCGCGGGGACCTGGTAGGTGCCCGCAGCTGTGGAAACCGGCCTGGGGCGAAAACGCCGGCTCCGCGACTAATAAACCGTCTGTGAACTACGGGCCACCCCGCCCCCACCCTCGTGCCCTTGGACAACCTGGCAGCTACAGATGGTTTTTACATTTTTAAATAGATGGGGAGAATTTTTTTTAACAAGAATATCTTGTCACACGTGAAAATTTATGAAATCCAATTTTCAGTGTTTATAAAGTTTTATTGGAACACAGTCATGCTCATCTCTTTTAGTATTGTCTGTGGCTGCTTTCACACTGCATGATCAGGAGACCTACCTGAAATACCTATCACCTGACTCTTTAGGAAAAAAGTTAGCAACTCTTGGAATAAACCAATACAAAAATCACAGATGGCCATTTGTGGTAGAAGATAATGGGGGCCACCTATTTTTCATAGAGCTGTGGGTTAAGAAAGGATTGGGTGGAATCCTGGAGACCAGGTTAATGCAGTTGACTAGGAAAGAGTTGGTGGCTTTTTCCCTTCAATCCACCCTCCAGCTTTTTCCTAGGGTGATCTTTCTTCAAAATAAACCTAAATTCTCCAGAGCTCCCTGCTTAAACACTGATGAATGCTGATAACAAGGCTCCTAGAGCCCTTGACAAGGGGCCATGGATGTGTCAAGTCAACCCCAACCTCCATATTAACTCTGGCCCTTACCACATGCCCTTTTCTCTCACCTCTGCCTCTGCTCATCTAGTTCTCTCCTTCCTCCATCAGGAGTTACCCGCCAGTCCTTGTCAGAGGTCCTAGTTAAGCTTCACTCACCCCCACCTCTGCAGACAGAGGCCACAACCCCCAAACCCAGCAGCCAACAGGAAAACACACCCGGTAACTGTAGTCTTTGTCTGTATTTGTCTGTCCCACTTTGACACCAAGGCCTGTGCCTAGTGTGTTCCCAGAGCCAAGCAGTAACTGACCTCACCAACCTCAGGCCAAACTAAGGAGATGCTCATAGAAATAAGGCTCTGAGATCTGATTATGGTATCTCCTTGGGTCCCTGGCACGATTCCAGACCAACAAGGTCACTCTAAAGGAGAATCTGACCAGGTATCCTTTAAAGTGGGTGTGGCATAGTGAAAAATATATATATATTTGATTTTGTCTCTAGTACCTGGCACAGTTACTCCTGAGCCCCTGCGCCTCAGCCACATAACAAATTGAGAAGTGTTTATTCCTGAAAACCTGGTGAACTTCAGGTAAGAACAGTGAGACTCTGCGGTGTTTTGCCTGGGGTTGCTCTCATGTCTTCCTTCTTCCCCTCCAGTTCAAGGAGCCTTAAGGCCATTGCGGCTCCAGTGGAGTGAGCCATGGGAGAGCAGTGAGAGGTGAAGCCAGAAAGACCACTGGGAGATCCGATCATGTAAGGCTTTGCAGGTGATTGTAAGAACTTTGACTTTTATTCTGAATTCAATGGGAAGACACCCCAGGTTTGCCCAGAGGAGTGACAAGACCTGATGTGCTTTAGCGGAACCATTCTGGCTTCTGTGGGGAGAGAGTGAGGTCAGTTAGCAAGCTATTACAAAAACTCAGTTGAGAGATGGTAATGTGGACTGGGGGGAATAGCAGTGGAGGTGGTGAAAAGTAGTGGGTGGGATTCTGGATATATTTTGAAAGTAGAGGGCAAAGAATGGGAGAGAGAGGTCATGCTATATGTTTGTTTGTTTTATACACTGCTGTGTTTTACTTTAGGAGTTTTGCAAATATTTTAACAAGTTTGGGCTAAATTTTCTTTTCTCATACTAGCATCCCAAATTTGTTTGGCATCCATTAATAGGCTCACGGTCTTTATCTGCAATTCTAAAGTTCAAAAAGTTGGGCGCCTGGGTGGCTCAGTTGGTTAAGCGAATGCCTTTGGCTCAGGTCATGATCCCAGGGTCCTGGGATCGAGTCCCACATCGGGCTCCTGGCTCAGCAGGAAGCCTGCTTCTCCCTCTCCCACTCCCCCTGCTTGTGTTCCTGCTCTCGCTGTCTCTGTCTCTGTCAAATAAATAAATAAAATCTTAAAAAAAAAAAAAGTTCAAAAAGTTCTGAGAACTAACAACAGGTGTTTTTTTTAGGGAGAGTACTTTTTCAGCGAGCTCCTTTGACAGCGAAACCTGATCTGATTTGAGGTGAGCCTATTTATAGTTTTTATTTATCCCACTTAGTATGCTATGCTGCAAAGATATTAACATATTTGATTGTCGGAACTGGTCCAGACTTTGCTGGAGGTGTTATACACAACTTATATACTACATTATCTTCCTGAACTCCCAAACCCCAAAGAATTTAAGTTAAAAGATTGCAGACTCAGTTTAGCCTTATAAAATGAATTCGCCAGCTTTCTTCTCTCTCTCTCTTTCTTTCTGTTGTTATTTGAAGTCGTTTGTATAAGAGAGGGGACAATTTCTTTCTTTGACGTGGGGGACCCTCATTTGTAAAGTTCTCTGGGTTTCGTGTGCTGTTGTTATTGTTTGATAGCGGGTAACTTACTTTTCATGCGAATCCCTTCTCTAGTGCCACGGTGCACAGCAGTACCCCCTCAGCCGGGCCTTGCTGATTCCGTTTGAAAAAGCCTGAACTTGCAATTCAAAGACATCAGAGACACTACAGGCCAGTGGTTATTGGGCCATTTGATTTGCAGAAACGACCGGCTTTTTTGCTGAACAGTTTGGGAAGAAAGGGGTTCTTTGGAATTGTATTTTGCTTTAATTATAGAGTGCAAATTTTAATCTTACCTCTAGAGGGCAGTCATGGACCACAAAAATGGTATGCTTTAAAAAAATGATATAAAATAGATTAAACTGAGTGCCCTTTTAGGTATGTATGTATTGTTTTTCCCACTTTACAGATGAGGAAACCGAGCCTTTAGGATAGCTAAGTAACTTAATTAGTTCATGGAAGTTGTAGGTGGCATAAGGTAAATCTGGATTTTAGCCTAGATCTATTGAGCACTGTAGTCCATGCTCTTAACAATACTAAATTCTTGGTCTCTCTCTCTCTCTCTCTCACCCCTTTCCCTTAGAAACAGTGTAACAAAGTGATTAAATATACCAACTCTGAGTCAACCTGCCTGACCAGGAAGGCTTGGCCCATATGAGCACCTGTAGGGAAACATGGCCTCAGGAAACCGATTCCCCTGAAAAATAAGCCACCTACCGTACCTACCAATGTCTGGTTCTATCACTGACCCGCTGTGGGACCAAGGGGGGCTACTTAACTGCTCTGTGGCTCAGGTTCCTCATGGTAAAAATGAGATGATAAGGAAATGCATGCTGAATCTTGAGTATCTACAGATAGGCTTACCTACTGCCTGACTCTGAGCCTATATTGCTAATAAAATGCAAGAAAGCATTGGTCGGGGCTCAAAACAACTGCTTCTTGGAGAACGAATCAGAATCAGCAAAAAGAAGAGCCTGGTGATGAACTTTTCCCACTTGTGATCTGTGCCTCTCAACTGTACTATTTGGACTCACCCTAATGACTTTTGGGGTTGATAAAGTTCCAAAAAGTCACAAATGGAATTGGGGCTCAGATCCATTACAAACTGAACAATCCTGTGCTGACAAGCTAAAGACTTGTTTAAACCAACAAACTCCCCCTCCTGCTGAAACCGGGGCTGTTGCCCTTAGAAGCTCACCCTTGCCATTGGACAGAGTCAGTTTTCACAGGGCCTGTTCAGCCCTTGTACATTACCTACCCCAAAGGAAACCTTTCCTGCATCCCGAGTTGTTTGCTAACACTTAATCTGAAGATGCAATCTCACATGGCCTAACTTCTCTACTGGATCAAGTTTCCCTGCTTTACCTGGCAATGCATTCAATTTAATGCTCACTACATATCAGTATTTATTTTTCCTTTTATTAGGGATAACAGTTCTTATCTGATCAGATTACTTTGACGATGAAATGAGCAAAGGCCTGTAGGGCCCTTAGAACAAAGCCTGAGGTGGTAAGACTCAGTGTTATTGCCATTAGTTCAACAAATATTTTTTTCAGTCTACGATGTCACACACTATGTATGTATCAGGAAGGGTCTGATCAGGAGGTAGAAACCACACTATTTATTTGAGCAGAGAGAATTTAATCTCAACGATTGTCACCTAGGTATAAAGTTATTGCCTGGTTAGCCGACAAGTCAAGAACAGAACAGTAAGATATCTTGGAGGCGGCAATTACTGGAAGCAATACCACCATCTGGGCTGGGAGAACAAAGGGAAGGTATTTAAATTTTTAAAACTCAAGCTTAGTGGAGAGGCCTTGCAGAGCTGAAACTGAGGTCTCTGAGGAGGGGTATTGTTCAGCTGTGGTTGGAGTTTCTGAGCGAAGCACAATAAGGCTGGTGTCCCAATGTTGGGAAAACCCCAAACTGGATTCAGCAAGCCCCACCAGAAGGATCTGCTGTGACCGTGGTGAAGAAGTGTTGCTGGATGATACAAGTTTGGGAAGTCCAAGGGAAGAAGCCAGTTCCTGCTTCCTTCAATCTTGCGCGTCCCTTGTACCACATGTTGACAGAGCCTATAGGGAGCAGAGATGTGATTGGCGGGCACCCTGCCCCAGTATCACAAGGCAGAGTATGGAAGGGTGGGTTGGAGCTAACAGACAACAGCTTAATGAATGGCAGCCTCCTTCCCTTTGGCTATTCAGCATCCCTACGCACACGTCTTCACGTATTTGAACTTCCACAAGACAACAAAAACAACTTTATCTTTCTATGTAACAAAATAAAACTGTCCTTCATACAAATGGAGACATCTCATCTTCTCCCCCAAAGGAGAAGATGCAAAGTTGCAGTAATGCTTGTATCCATTTTTGAGACATTCATACATCCCTTTCTTTCTTTCTTTTTTTTTAAAGATTTTATTTATTTATTTGACAGAG